GGGCTGGGCCGGGTGGTGCGCAGTCCTAGCCGTCCTACCTCCATCAGTGAGCGGTCCTGCTGGGTCACACGCAGCAAGTGCAGGTTGCCGATGAGCGGCAGCGGGCGCGGCCCCGGGGGCCAGCACGGAGCAGGAGCCGGGCCCCTGACCCAGGCTTGCAGCCAGCCCCAGAGGCCCAGCAGGCCGCAGAGACCCAGCAGCCCCAGGAGCAGCAGAGCCATGAGGACAACGGGCGCTGTGGCCCTGGCCCCTTCCCTGTGCCTCCCTCCCAGAGGGCGTGCCAGCACCCCACCCACCCCACCACCCCGAGAATGTGGAACGAGCAGTTTGCAGGGGACAGCCCCAGCGAGCGGCTTAAAGCCACAGGCTGTGTGCAGAGGTGTGGTGGGACTTGGTGGAGGGACTTCAGACCCTTTGCTGGGAATCCTGGTCGCCTTGATCTGCCCAGCCCACAGTCCCTCCCCGGCTCCATCATCCCACCCCGGTCTCTCCCAGACCATGCCACCGGGTCCATCTGAGCCCTGTCCCACCCTGCCCAGTGGGGGTGGCCAGCAGTAGAGACCCTGGTTTCTGCACCTGAGGGCCCGAGAATCCCAGGGCCAAGGTGGGCAGTGGGGGCAGCAAGTACGGCGTCGCTTGGGGTGCCCACATCACACAGGGGCACTATGCCAGCACTCCAAACCTGGCCTTGGTCCTGACTGCAGCGCCGTGCCAGCGTGCGCCCTGGGAGGCCGCCAGTGGTGGCTCAAGTGCTTGGGTCCCTGCCACCCACGTGGGCGACCTGGAGCCAGTTGCAGGCGCTTGGCTCTGGCCCGGCCCAACCCTGGCTGTTCCCAGCATCTGAGGACTGAGCCAGTAGGTGCTGCGTCCGCTCCCTTGGGAAGACATAAAATGAATCTAAAACTTAGAAACTCAGGGTCCTCAGAGATTGCTGGCAGGCCTGTCCCCCCACTAGCTGTGTTCCCCATCTCACGATCACCCCAAGTGCTGTCCCGGGAGGCTTCCCAACAGCTGCTACCTGAGCCGAGAGGGGCTGGGAGGAGGGAGGCTGCGGCCCCCTCCCCAGGCAGGGCCCACTGGGGGCAGGAGGGCCTGGCCCGTCCCTGGCTGCTGAATGCTGGGTTGGGGGAGAGACGGGAGGGGTGGGCCAACTCTTGGCAGCAGAAGTGGCTAGGCCTGCTCCCCGCCACCTGCCCCGACAAGAGACAGCCGGGCTCTTCGTGCTCCCCGTAAGCCGCACCCCACAGTACACTGAGAGGAAAGCCCCACCCCACTACGCACCCCGTGACAGGGCCCTCAGCACCACTGTCCTTGCCCAGTGCAGGGCTGGGGCCGTGGCGACCGTGCGGCTCATGGTTCTGACCCCAGTCCTGGGCCAGTCGTGCCTGAGGGTGGGGGTCCTGGCTCTGGTCGTGCTGAGGAACCTGGAAGCTCAGTGCAGACTCCAGAGACACGAGGTGCTGGGAGAACCCTGGCCTCGGCCGCTGTAACATCTGCCAGGCGCTGCCCACTGCTGTGGGCCCAAGAAAATGCTGCGACAGAGGCCGAGTGGCCGGGTGGCCGGGTAGGCAGTCAAGTCCTCTCACAGCAGCTGGCCACGGGCTGGCGGGCCCAACACTGCTGCGACACAGAGGCCGGGTGGCCGGGTGGGCGGCCAGGTCCCCTCTCAGCAGCTGGCCACGGGCTGGCGGGCCCAACACTGCTGCGACACAGAGGCCGGGTGGCCGGGTGGGCGGCCAGGTCCCCTCTCAGCAGCTGGCCACGGGCTGGCGGGCCCAACACTGCTGCGACACAGAGGCCGGGTGAGCGGGTGGCCGGGTGGGCGGCCAGGTCCTCCCAGAGGCTCCCCTGCAGCTCCCTGTCCAACATGACATCCAGGCCCCTGGGAGCCCCTGCACACATCATGTTCCTGTGCGATGTGAACAGCGTGCAGCCGTATGTGTGTCTGTGTGTGCTGACCACATGTTTAAAGCAGAGACCATACCCATCTGGCCAGACCCTCGAAGCTGATGGTCCTCCAGCGGCCTGGGCAGGGCTTCTGCACCGGCCACCCCTTGGCCACACAACAGGACCTGGGGTCTGGGCGGAGCATCTGCCCAGATGGACTGACCCAGGCTGTGCCCGGCCATGGCACCATAGATGAGGGGAGATATCTGGCTCCTGACTGGACTCTACTCGCTGGCCATGGTGGCCAGTGGCTCCCATGGACATGCACATGGAAAGGCCCCCACCCAGGGTGCAGCATGCCCTCTGGGCACCCCCACCCGCTGTGCCAGCATGTCAGACTTCCCATCATGCCATCCATCCTCAGTAGGGGGTCCCTGCCTGCTTTAAACTATCCATCCCTTTCCTCCTAAGAACCCCAAACCCAGCTTGAGCGCTGCTCTATCTGGCAAAGGCCTGGCCCCTGGCGCCAGCCCAGCCCACTCACTCATCCATTCAAGAGTGACTGGTAGAAGAGTGTTGGCTTGTCGCCCTATGAACCACCATTGATAGCCTGCCCTCTGGTCTTCCCACAGGAGGCCCCACCCAGCCCCATCCCAGCCCCCATCGCAGCCCCATTGCAGCCCCCATCCCAGCCCCCATCTCAGCCCCCATTTCAGCCCCCATCCCAGCTGTCCCCCTCCATGGACAGCTCAGGGCTGGGCTGGGCCCTGGGAGCTGGGATTATGGTGGGTAGTTAGGGGGCAGGGATGTGTGCTGCATATCGGGGTGCAGTGTGGGGTGGGGACTGTGTGCTGTGTTGTGGGGTACAGTGTGGGGTGGGGAGTGTGTGCTGTGTTGTGGGGTGCAGTATTGGGGCAGACACTCTGCTGGGTGGTGAAAGCTCCATTGTTCCAGCCCTAGGAACATTAATGAGTAACCCAGTGTGTGGCCCCAGGGCAGTGCTGGTGTGACAGCTGTAATTCACTTATGGGACAAGGCCAGCCCACCCCTGGGGCCCCTGTGGGTGTGAAGTCAGTCTGGTGCTGCCCATCCCCACCCAGGGCCCAGGGTGCGCCCCTTGGGGATAAGGCTGAGCTAGGGTGCAGCCTGGGGCTCCCCTGGGTGTGCTGGGGGGGCGGCAGTGCTGGGGGCGCAGCCTGGGGCTCTCTGGGTGTGCTCCTGGGGGTGGCAGTGCTGGGGGCGCAGCCCGGGGTCCCTGGGTGTGCTCTTGGGGGTGGCAGTGCTTGGGGCGTAGCCCGGGGCTCCCTGGGTGTGCTCCTGGGGGTGGCAGTGCTGGGGGCGCAGCCCGGGGTCCCTGTGTGTGCTCTTGGGGGTGGCAGTGCTGGGGGCGTAGCCCGGGGCTCCCTGGGTGTGCTCCTGGGGGGTGGCAGTGCTTGGGGGGCGCAGCCCGGGGCTCCCTGGGTGGGCTCCTGGGGGTGGCAGTGCTGGGTGCGCAGCCCTGGGTGTGCTCCTGGGGGTGGCAGTGCTGGGGGCGCAGCCCTGGGTGGGCTCCTGGGGGTGGCAGTGCTGGGGGCGCAGGCCGGGGCTCCCTGGGTGTGCTCCTGGGGGTGGCAGTGCTGGGGGCGCAGCCCGGGGCTCCATGGATGTGGTCCTGGGGGATGGCAGTGCTGGGGGGGGGGCGCAGCCCAGGGCCGCCTGGGTGTGCTCCTGGGGGTGGCAGTGCTGGGGGCGCAGCCCGGGGCTCCCTGGGTGGGCTCCTGGGGGTGGCAGTGCTGGGGCGCAGCCCGGGGTCCCTGGGTGGGCTCCTGGGGGGTGGGGTGGCAGTGCTGGGGATGCAGCTGGGGCTCCCTGGGTGGGCTCCTGGGGGTGGCCGTGCTTGGGGGTGCAGCCCGGGGCTCCCTGGGTGGGCTCCTGGGGGTGGCAGTGCTGGGGCGCAGCCCGGGGTCCCTGGGTGGGCTCCTGGGGGGTGGGGTGGCAGTGCTGGGGATGCAGCTGGGGCTCCCTGGGTGTGCTCCTGGGGATGGCCGTGCTTGGGGGTGCAGCCCGGGGCTCCCTGGGTGGGCTCCTGGGGGTGGCAGTGCTGGGGGCGCAGCCCGGGGTCCCTGGGTGGGCTCCGGGGGGGTGGCAGTGCTGGGGGCGCAGCCCGGGGTCCCTGGGTGGGCTCCTGGGGGTGGCAGTGCTGGGGACGCAGCCCTGGGTGTGCTCCTGGGGGTGGCAGTGCTGGGGGCGCAGCCGGGGCTCCCTGGGTGGGCTCCTGGGGGTGGCAGTGCTGGGGGCGCAGCCCGGGGTCCCTGGGTGGGCTCCTGGGGGTGGCAGTGCTGGGTGCGCAGCCCTGGGTGTGCTCCTGGGGGTGGCAGTGCTGGGGGCGCAGCCCTGGGTGGGCTCCTGGGGGTGGCAGTGCTGGGGGCGCAGGCCGGGGCTCCCTGGGTGTGCTCCTGGGGGGGTGGCAGTGCTGGGGGTGCTGCCCGGGGCTCCATGGATGTGGTCCTGGGGGATGGCAGTGCTGGGGGGGGGGCGCAGCCCAGGGCCGCCTGGGTGTGCTCCTGGGGGGTGGCAGTGCTGGGGGCGCAGCCTGGGGCTCCCTGGGTGGGCTCCTGGGGGTGGCAGTGCTGGGGCGCAGCCCGGGGCTCCCTGGGTGGGTTCCTGGGGGTGGCAGTGCTGGGGGCGCAGCCCGGGGCTCCCTGGGTGTGCTCCTGGGGGGTGGGGTGGCAGTGCTGGGGGCGCAGCCCGGGGCTCCCTGGGTGGGCTCCTGGGGGCGCAGCCCGGGGTCCCTGGGTGTGCTCCTGGGGGTGGCAGTGCTGGGGGCGCAGCCCGGGGTCCCTGGGTGGGCTCCTGGGGGTGGCAGTGCTGGGGGCGCAGCCCGGGGTCCCTGGGTGTGCTCCTGGGGGTGCAGCCCGGGACTCCCGGGACCCGCGAGCCAGGGCGATGATCCCACCGGGCGGAGAGCAGGGGACGCTCGTCCTGCCCCGAGTGTGTCCTCGGCGCCTTCACGGCCCCTCAGGCCTGACCCCTGACCCCCGACCCCCGACCTCGCAGGGGGCGGGACCGGTGGCCGCGCTCGACGCGTTCGGCGCTCCCCGGGCCTGCTCGGCGCTCGGCCGGCCGCCCTGCGCACTGCGCCGCCGTCATGTCGACCGCCATGAACTTCGGGAACAAGAGCTTCCAGCCGCGGCCGCCGGACAAGGGCAGCTTCCCGCTGGACCACTTCGGTGCGGCTCGGGGGGCTCGGGGGGCTCGGGGGCGGCGGCGGGCGGGCCCTCAAGCCGCCCCCTCTCCCTGCAGGCGAGTGTCGGAGCTTCAAGGACAAGTTCATGCGGTGTCTCCGCGAGAACCGCTTCGAGAACGCCGCGTGCCGGCTCGAGTCCCGAGAATACCTGCGCTGCCGGATGGACAGGCGAGTGCGGAGCGGCCCCACGGGTGACCGTGACCCCCGAGGCTGACCGTGACCCCCGGGGCTGACCGTGACCCCCGGGGCTGACCCCGTGACCCCCGAGGCTGACCGTGACCCCCGGGGCTGACCCCGTGACCCCCAGGGTGACCGTGAGTCCCGGGGCTGTCCCCGTGACCCCCGGGGTTGACCGTGAGCCCCCGGGGATGACCGTGACCCGTGGGGCTGACCATGATCCCCTGGGCTGACCCCATGACCCCCAAGACTGTGTCTGTGACCCCCGGGACTGTCCGTGATGCCCAGTGTTGTGTCCGTTCCCTCGGGGCTGACCATGTGAACCCCGTGGCTGACCTTGAGGCCAGGGCTGTCCATGACCCCCAGGGCTGACCATGACCCCCCAGGCTTTCCCCACAAACCCCAGGCTGTTCTATCTCCAGGTCAGTGACTGCCAGGGTCAGGCCAGGGTCTCCAGTGGCTGCTGTGTGCCCATCCTATCCTTTGCCATGTCTGGGAGCCCGACCAGTGTCCCTTCTGTCATATGTGTCTCCTTGGCATCCTTGGTGACCACCTGGGTCACCCCAGATGCTGCAGCTGGTGGGAACAGGGCTGCCGGAGGCTGAGGGCGGATGGGGGACCGATGTGCGGGACACCTGCCCTCTGGAGGAGAGGGTTGCACAGGTGCCCTGTGAGGGGTACCATTCTCTTGGGCCAGCACGGCCAGCACAGGTGGCGCCCAGCGGATGGTCTCAGCACCCTTGGCCACTGGTTGTGGGGGTGCGGCCAGGAACAGTTAGCTGTAGGAGTTGCTTTCAGCAACACCAGTGTCCAGTGTCCTCCTAAGGCCCTCCCACCGTGCCCTGCAGCTCAGCCGCCGGATGAGGCTTCATCCACACTCCTGTGGGGTGGCCTCCAGGCCGCTCGGGCGTGGGTCCGGCTTGTCCCACAGCGCCCCAGGCAGCACCCTGCCGGAGTCTTCATGCTGCTCCTGAGGGCTGCATCCCATCCCTACTGGGTGTGGCCAGGAGTGTCCTGTTGCATGGCATAGCCACAGGAAGTGCGTGTGAGGAGCCCACCCCTGGGCAGCCAGCTCCTCCCTGGGCTGTGAGGGGAGCTCTGGCAAAGGTACGTGGTGCCCAGTGCTGGGCAGGCCTGGCCGCTGGCCCTGGCTGTGCAAGTGGGAGCAGGTGTGTGGCCCACCCACCTCAGGGCTGTGCTTACCTCCTGCTGACCAGAGGCCAAGCTCTGGCCACGGTCTGAGGGGTGCTGGATCTCCAGCCCAGGTCCCTGGAAGGCCAAGGTCGGGGCGTGTGGAGGCCTTTGTGCACTGACACCACCTCCTGTGTCCCTGCAGGCAGCTGATGGCGCAGGAGCCCTTGGAGAAGCTGGGATTCGGAGACCTGGAGGACGGCAAGGCCGAGGCCCAGAGAAGTGCTGAGTAGCCCTGGCGAGGCGGCCCTGCCGGGCTCCCCTCCCCTCATGGTCTGTCCTCTTAGCTGTGTGAGCAGGGTGGCTCCAGGCCGTGGGGTGAGGGTGTGGCCACACCTGCTGTGCCCTCAGCCTGGGGGAGAGCCAGGCTTCGTCAGATGGACACGAGGGTGACCTGCTCAGGCGTTCCGGCTTTTCACTCCTGAGTCCTGTGCTCGCCAGTGGACGAGGGCCAGTCATGGCAGCCCTCCTGGGTCCAGATGCCAAGGTGGCGAGTCAGGGTGACTGACGTGGACTGCTCAGACTGAATGAAAAGCCCCGTGTGCACAGGCTGCCTCTGTCCGTGACTAATGGGGAGGGACCAGCCCCGCACGTGGCCCCTGGGCCCCGTCTGTCTGCAGAGGAGGTGGGGCGGAGCTGTGAGAGGGGGGACTTTGCAGTGGACCCCACCTGTCTGCGTGGAAGTCCTTCTCCGCGTGCTGGGGGCAAGGCCTCCGTGAGCCACATGCACTGGCCTCCCACCCACTCCAGGCTTCCGCGTGCTCCCATGTAGCCTCTGTGGCCACTGCTGTGAACGAGCTGCCTGCCAGTTCTCAAGCAAGCACTGTCAGGCGTGGGCTGCACTTCTCAGCCCCTCCATCTGTGGTGTTAAAGTGGGGCGACCCTCTGCCCTCAGGGTCTGAGCACGGCACATGCACGCGAGGGGCCTGCCAGGGTCAGGCGCCACCAGGTGAGGGGGCGTCGAGGTGCGCCTCCAGGCCTCCGCACCCGCCACCCTAGGTGTGCCTGGTCATGCGATTCTGGCTCCCAGCCTGTGGGGGACCCGAGTGTGACGGTCCATGCACCATGCCCACCGAAGGGCAGGGGCAACAGCCACCCAAGCAACTGAGGGCTGTGTGAGTGGCTGCACGTGTGTGTGTGTGTGTGTGCGTGCACACGGGCAGGGTGTGTGAGTTCCTGGACAGGTGCGTGTGCTGTGTGAGTGCTTGGACAGCTGTGTGTGTGTGTGCACAGGTGTGTGAATTCCTGTGGGTGTGTGTGCAGGCAGGTTTGGGTGTGAGCTCCTGGGCAGGTGTGTGCAGGTGGGTGTTTGCAGGCAGCTCTGTGGGTGTGCACAGGTGTGTGAGCACCTGTGTGCACGTGGCTCAGCAATAGGGCTGGGAAGGAGCAGAGGTGGCTGTGCAGTGGCTCTCACGGAAGACAGTGACAGCAGTGCCCCCAGTCCCAGGACAAGCCGTCGTCGAGAGGGGCAGGGCCCAGGAACATGTCTGCTTGTGCCCTTGGGAGTCTGAGTCATTTGGAGTTGCAAAGATTAAACACATTTTTGTGTGCTGCCATGGCTGAGTATTGTCCACTCTGCCGTGAGGGTCCCAAAGGCCTATGTGTCCCTGCCCAGGTGCCCGTCACCTCCTGTGGAAAGGGCGTTGTGTTTCCCACACAGGAAGTGTCCCTGGGCCCCAGCTGGGTGTGTGGGGCCTCAGGAGAGAGGGGGTCCCTGGCCTGACCCTGTGGTCGCGTGCCAACCAGGGGTATCTCCCCAGCCACCTGCATGGCGTGTGCTGTGGGAGCTCCGAGGACAGGACAGCCTTGCACCCCGTTATTTCTTGCAGCAGAGAAAGCTGGCGACACCCTGGGACGCCCACGTTACAGAGCAGAAACCGGAAGTCACCAGAATAGCCATGCGGGCGGGGTGCGGCTCTCAAACCCAGGTTGGGGGCTTGCTGTGCGTGGGTAGAGTCCCCTCATGAGAGCTGGTGGCCTTCACCTGTCCTGGAGTGGCCAGCCAGGGCTCGGGTGGGACGGAAGCTTGCACACAGTGAGCCCCTAGGAGGTGGCACCTCCCGCATCCAGCGCTGGCTTGGAGCCATCCCTGGCTCTCCTGCTCTGAGCAATGCAGCTGGAGGGGTGGGGCAGCCCCCCAGCAGGCCCAGCACAGGTCTCTGGCGTTCCCACAGTGAGCTGCCTCATGGAGCTCTCTTTCTGCTCTGCCACTTGAATTAAAAATCACTAAAGTTTCCTTTATTTGAAAGGCAGGAGTTAGAGATCTTCCCTCTGCTGGTTCACCCGCTGCCCAGGAGGCTGCGCTGGCCAGAGCTGCAGCAGTGGGTTTATTCTGGGACTCCCCCCTGGGTGCGGGGGTCAAGGACTTGGGCCATCTTCTGCTTTCCCGGGCCATTACAAAGGGCTGAATCGGGCCTCGGCAGCTGGGACTCAGACTGGTACCCACATGGGTACTGGCTCGCTCCCCGCATGGTGGGGCCTGCTCCCCTCACACGTGGGGCCTGCTCCCTGCATAGTGGGGCCTGTTCCCTGCACGGCGGGGCCTGCTGCAGACCCCACCTCCCTGGTCAGGAGCAGGACTGTGCCATGTTATCTCTGGTGTCCTGGGGAAGGTGCTCAGGGCTGAGGGCACCGCTCACCGGGCAGCCACAGTGGGTACAGCGGGTGGTTGGCAGCCGCCCAAGAGCAGATGAGTGCTGGCCTCCTTGTCCAGGCACTGGGCTCGTTCCTGACTTGGAATGGGCAGTTGCTGACTGTGGAAGACATTAAAGTCGGTCTCTTCTGCTTTAGAAAATGGAACCTAAAGACTCAGCAGCCAGCCCCCAGTGTGACTGTCCTGACCCCAGGACGTGGAGCGGACCCCAGCCATGCTGCCAGGAGCAGGCACCGTGGGCCGCGGCCTGGGGCTGCCGCGTGTCCGTGGGCTCCATGACGACATTACTTCGCAGAGCTGCCTCCTGTATCGATGCTCGTGCTGCCCATTGGATGTACTGGCACATGGAGCCCCTGGGGGAGAGAACCAAGCTCCCTGGACACCACAGGCTGTGCCCAGGCTGAGCGTGCAGGGCTCTGGGGCCTTAGGGACAGTGGGTGCTCAGCTTGGAGCCCAGGGCTGTCTTGTGCCCGGGACAACCCCCTTTCCTGTGCCTCCTGTCACCTCCAGGATGGACAGGCAGAGGGTTGCTGGGCCTGTGACTTCAGCAATAGGGAAGGGACCAGGTCACGTAGACCCTGCATCCCCACAGTGCCCTGCATTGCCCCTCGGGCACTACCTGGGTCATCTGTGCCCGGCCCCGGCTGCCCACTGTCCCTGCATGGCCCCTCGGGCACTACCAGGGTCGTCTGTGCCCGGCCCCTGCTTCCCACTGACCCTGCACGGCCCCTGGGGACTACCTGGGTCGTCTGGGCCTGCCCCTGACCACAGCTGTCCCAGGACCGGCTGCCAACTGGCTGCTGCCGCCTTGTCTGCCTTCTGCAGGGTTTCTGACCCCTGGGCTCTGGTGCAGGGGAGGGAGGGCCGAGGCCCACGCCCTGCAGCTGCTGAGGTCTCTGAGGTGAGAGCTCCACAGTGGGCACAGAGCTGCACAGAGGCCCCAGCCAGAGGCTCCCTAGGGAAGCAAATGCATGTGGCGCCCCCTGCAGGACAGAGATGGCGCCTGCTCAGCCCGTGTGCCGCTGGGAGTGGGGAAGATCTGGTCCTCTGGGACCCTGTGAACAGTGGGCACTTATGCTGGACAGGGCTGCTCGTGCCTGCAAGCCCCCACCTGCCTTCACCCCCTGTGCAACCCCCGTTTTTGTGAGGAGACAGGAAGGAGAGCGGAACAAATGACACGGGGTTGGTCCTGTGCGTGTGTCCATTTCACCAGTGGAGGCGTGTTCCCATCCCCGGCTGAGCCCGGGTGGCAGCCGTCCCTGGGGTCTGAGGGCCTGGAACAGCTGTGGGCATTACAGGCCAGCACTTCTGTGCCCGTGGCAAGAGAAGGCTCCATGTTGGGGTGGGAAGGAGCACCCTGGGCTCTGTTGAAGCTGTTGTCCCTTGAGGTCTTGCATTCCTGGGTGGTCATAGTCCTGCCCACTTTGTCCCCTCAGATCCCTCCTGCCCAGGGAGTAGGGAGGCTCCCCTTAGCATGCCCTGTGGGCCTCGTCCAGCAGGCTGGCCCAGGCTGGGATGGTGGCCCCGTGTCCTGTACCTCCCCACACAGCAGGGTCAGCCTGCCCTGGCGGTCCCTCTTGAGCTCGGGACCCAAGGCCTACTCTCTGGACCCACGTCTGCCCAGGTGCTGACAGCAGAAGTCCCAAACTCAGAACCTGCTCAGGGTGCCAGTGGTATCCTGAGGTGTCCCATACCTGCTCCCGTACCTTAGGGGTGTCCCCTCAGACCAGGAGCCTGAGACTCTGGCCCTGAAGATCTTCCTCAGGGGAGTCCCCCAAGACCACCTTCCTCAGGGGAGTCCCCCCAGACCACCTTCCTCAGGGGTGTCCCCCCCAGACCACCTTCCTCAGGGGTGTCCCCTCAGACCACCTTCCTCAGGGGTGTCCCCCCAGGCCACCTTCCTCAGGGGTGTCCCCCCCAGACCACCTTCCTCAGGGATGTCCCCCCCAGGCCACCTTCCTCGGGGATGTCCCCCCCCACCACATTTCTCAGGGGTGTCCCCCAGACTACCTTCCTCAGGGGTGTCCCCCCCACCACATTTCTCAGGGGTGTCCCCCAGACTACCTTCCTCAGGGGTGTCCCCCAGACCACCTTCCTCAGGGGTGTCCCCCCAGACCACCTTCCTCAGGGGTGTCCCCCCAGACCACCTTCCTCAGGGGTGTCCCCCCAGACCAGGAGCCTGAGGCTCCAGCCCTGAAGAGCAGACCTTCCTCAGACACGTGGCCTGGCACCCAGTGTTGGGAGAAGAGCACTGGTTTGAGGGAGGGTAGATGGGAAGGAACCCATGGAAAGAGCTAGAAAGCAGAAGCAGGGAGGGGTTGGGGCTTGCAGTGGGAGCAGAGCTCCCTGTGTGTGGGCTGTGGAAGGGGAAGGAAAGGCCTGCCCGTGGCTGGGGTGCCTCCCGCTGCCGACCAGACCCTCTAGGGAGGACGGTGAGGCGAGCCCAAGCTACCTGTGTGCCCTGACAGGGCCGCTGGCTGGCACTGTGAATGCATGGAAGCAGCTGTGTGGGGTTGGTGCTGTGGCGCCAGCATCCCATATGGGCCCCATCTTGCTTGTGGCCTGGGAAAGCAGGGGAGGATAGCTCAGAGCCCTGGGGCACTGCACCCACTGGGGGACCTGAAGGAGAGCTGGCTCCTGGCTTCTGCCTGGGCCTGCCCTGGCCCTTGTGTCTGTCTGGGCAGTGGACCAGTACATATAGCAGAGCTCTGTATGACTCCCTTGTCATAGAAACAGTTGTTTTAAACAGACTGTGTGTGCAGCCCTGCGAGGGTCTGGGGCAGCCGGACCCCAGGCCATAGCCCAAGTCCACTGTCCAGCCAAGTAGCTTGCTGTAGGCCCTGTGGACATTCAGGCATGACAAAGAACACACCTGCCCCACATCTGTGTGACATCCTGCCCCATGTCCCCGTGTGCGCCCCAAGTCCTCCCCATCCCCGTGTGCTCCTCACCCCATGTCCCATCCCCGTGTGCTCCCCACCCCATGTCCCTGTCCCGTGTGCTCCCCACCCCATGTCCCTGTCCCGTGTGCTCCCCACCCCATGTCCCTGTCCCGTGTGCTCCCCACCCCATGTCCCTGTCCCGTGTGCTCCCCACCCCATGTCCCTGTCCCGTGTGCTCCCCACCCCATGTCCCTGTCCCGTGTGCTCCCCACCCCATGTCCCTGTCCCGTGTGCTCCCCACCCCATGTCCCTGTCCCGTGTGCTCCCCACCCCATGTCCCATCCCCGTGTGCTCCCCACCCCATGTCCCTGTCCCGTGTGCTCCCCACCCCATGTCCCTGTCCCGTGTGCTCCCCACCCCATGTCCCTGTCCCGTGTGCTCCCCACCCCATGTCCTGTCCCGTGTGCTCCCCACCCCATGTCCCTGTCCCGTGTGCTCCCCACCCCATGTCCCTGTCCCGTGTGCTCCCCACCCCATGTCCCTGTCCCGTGTGCTCCCCATCTCCTTCCCCTCCCCGTCCACTCCATGTCCCACCCCATGTTCCCCATCCCTGTGTGCTCCTCGTGTCCCTGTCCTGTGTGCTCCCCATCCTGCCCCTTCTCGCAGGTATGTGTCCCTGACCAGGCAACCACAGGGGTCCCACTCACATGCATTGCCCCACAACCCCTCTTTCACGCTCTGCCCCTCCCTGGCCAGGGGTCTGGGCGTTACTCTTGCTGTCCCTGAGCCCAGCTGTGCCGGGGCTCAGTGTCTCTCCGCAGAGCTCCTGCTGGCTGCTGCCCCCTCAGGCCAGCCATGAGGAGTCGTGGGCTGGAAGGGAAGCTGGTGGCCGCGTGCAGGGCCATGAGGTGCAGCTCTGTGTCGCTAGCATTTGCTCTGCAGGGGCGGAGGTGTACAGAGATAGCCAGCGTGTCAGCTCTTGAGGCTCCAGGGTCCTGGGGGAAGGTCGGGTGCGGAGGAGGCTCTCCCGCGGGTCCGAGCAGCTGCTTGGGAGAGCATGGGGACCCTGGCCTTGGGTGGCTGCCAGCCATGGCGCTGGGCTCCTCCAAGGGCTCAGGCCTGCTCTGGGCCTACTGTGTGCAGGGGCTGTGCCTGCAGGATTCCTGCTGAGGTCCGGACACCAGGGGGCGCGCTTCCTCCCCAGGTGCAGATGCCACAGTTCCCCCTTCCCCACCAGCCCGTGGGTTCTGAACCCACAAAGGCGACCCCAGAAACAAAGCCACTGAAGTGGGTTGCTCTGTTGTGCCTACGGTGGCCGGGACCCCACAGGCCTGCCGGTCAGCGTGGACTCCAGTGCCTGCCCCAGTGGGACCCAGCCCAGCCAGAGACACGGATGGGGTGACAGAGCGGGCAGCGGCCAGCCAGTGGACCCTGAGTGGACAGGAAGGCAGATACTCTGCAACTCGGCCGCAAAGGGAGGCTGAACCCGGACCCCTGCGCCCACAGGGCGCGGAACCTTCTAGAAGGGGCCAAGGAGCACGGCATGCCTTAGGGCCGAGTCTGAGGCGGGATGTGGCTTCCCCAAGTTGGAGGAACGCCCTGCCCCGGGCCAGGCTCCGTCGGAGGGCAGAGGGCTCCGTGGGAGGAGCTCCCGCCCCGACACCTTGCGTCCCAGTGTGAGGGCGGAGGCCGGCGGGGCCAGTGGGCGTGCAGGCGTGCAGCCTGGTGCCAGTGGGCGCGCCGGCAGCCTGGTGCGCAGCGGAGAGCCGCCCGCGCCGCTGGGGGCCGCCCGCGGGCCGCGCCGGGCAGAGCGCGCCGTGCGCCCGGGCCCCGCGCCGCACACGCTCGGCGGCCGCGCGGAGACACGGGCGGCGGAGCCGCGGGCGGCAGGAATGCGGAACCCGCGCGCGGGCTGAGGCGCCGGCATGGCGCAGGGGCGGCTGTGAGCGCGCGGGGTCGCGGCCATGGCCAAGGAGCGGCGCCGGGCGGTCCTGGAGCTGCTGCGGCGGCCGGGAAACGAGCACTGCGCGGACTGCGGCGCCCCGGGTAGGTGCGGGCGCGGCGCGCGGGGGTACGGGCGGCGCCCGGCGCCGGGGAGGCTGCGGTGGGCTGCCCGGGGGATGGAGCGCCCGCTGCCCGGCGGGTGCGCCGCGGGCTCGGCGCCCACCCGGTGCACCTGCGGGAGCGGGCGTTGCCCCGCGCTGGCCCCGCGCCGGCCCCGCGCCGGCTCCTGCTCCCATCCCCCACCGCCGGCTGCGTGTCTCGCTGTCACTCGCGGGCCGCTCGCCGCCTTGCGAAACCTTGGGCTCCGCAAAGAAAGAGGAAATGGGGGCAGGGGCAGAGGGGCCGGCCTGGGAGGGTGTGGGGTGTGTGCGCGCGCGGGATTGCGGGGGGCCACCTGGCTCCCCAGCCACCTGCGGGTGACGTCATGTTGGAGGAGCGGGGGTCCACCTTGCTCCCCGCCACCTGCTGGTGACGTCATGGCGGGCAGCCCTGGTGCAGGTGTGACGGGGCAGCCCTGCGGCTTCCTGGCCGCGGACTTTGTTCCCCGCGATTGCTGCCCAGAGTCCCCTGAGGGATGCCCCTCCCTTGATGGCCACCGTCGCCGCGTTGGGGCGGAAGGAGCGTGCCCTGGCCAGCCTGACCCTGCCCCCAGCTGGCAGGTGCAGCAGGGACCCTGCTCGTGCCACCCTCAGGGCAGGGTCCCCTGGGATCCTAGCCCCCTCAGAACAACCCCAGCACCACAGAGCAGGAGGGTGGGGCCTCACGGGGCTCTCCCCACGCAGGGGCCACAGCAGGAGCAGGCATCCGTAGTGGGTGGCACTGGGGGTGGGCGGCAGCGGTTCCTGGCAGCGAGGCTTGGCTGTGCCCACACTCGCGGCCGCCTCTCCCAGACCTGGTGTCCGTGTGCCAGGAGAGCGAGCAGAGGGGTGGGCACTGACCCACGCACAGGCCAGGCCAGGGGGCTGTGCCTGGCAGGAAGCCACCCAGGGTGCCCACGGTGGTCTTTCCCACCTGGGAGGCCCCCTGCCAGCTCTTGGCCTGAGTCCAGGGCAGCCACCGGTGACTTGGGCCAGCACCTCCTGCACTGGGCCCCGCCATTGTCTGCTCAGAATCTGCGAGACATCAGCGTCTTGACTCCTGGACCAGCAGCCGTGGAGAGGGAGGCGCAGGGTGTGGAAGCCCCTCTGACCATCAGCCCCACAGGGCCGGGAGAGCCAGCGTGCTTGAGGCCTGCTGGGTGTGGAGCCCGGGGCTTCCCCCGGGACCCTGAGCAGACATGAGCCTCCAGCTCGCAGCTGCCCAGAGAGCGGTTACTGCTCGGGGCCTGGTGGGGTGCGCTTGGCCAGCCGCCCCTGTGCGGTGCTGGAAGGGAGACGTGCCCATCTCCCTGGTGTCGCAGGTCGTGGCTGGGTGATCACTGAGCTCCAGAGTGAGCGGGCATCGGGGCCAGTGGCCACTCTGCTGGCGGCGTCCCACGGGCTGGGCTTGGCTCACGCTCCTTGAGCACACCCTGCCAGTTTCAGGGTGCCATGGTGAGGTGGCTGGAAGTGCCGGGCAGAGAAGGGGAGCCCAGGGAGAAGGCCCTGGTGGGGGCCTGCTGAGGGTAGGCTGGCCACAGCCACTGCCCTGGGAAGGAGCTGGCAGGGTTGTTTTTGCCTGTGTGTTTTAGAAGACTCACTTATTTGTGTTGGAAAGGCAGGTCAAATGATTTACAGAGAGAAGGAGAGAGAGATCTTCCTGGGTCTGGTGCGATAGCATAGTGGCTAAAGTCCTCCCCTTGAACACGCTGGGATCCCATATGGGCACCAGTTCTAGTCCCGGCAGCTCCAATTCCCATCCAGCTCCCTGCTGTGGCCTGGGAAAGCAGTGGAGGACGGCCCAGAGCATTGGGACCCTGCACCCGCGTGGGAGACCCAGAGGAAGTTCCTGGCTCCTGTCTCCGGATCAGCACAGCACCGGCTGCTGCAGTCACTTGGGGAGTGAATCAGCGGACGGAAAGTCTTCCTCTCTGTACATCTGCCTTTCCAATAAAAATAAATAAATCTTAAAAAATTATATCTTTCTCCTGCTGGTTCGCTCCCCAAATGCCTGCCATGGCCAGAGCTGAGCCCATCCAACATCCAAAGCCGGCGCTTCTGCCGGGTCTCCCGCGTGGGCGCAGCAGCCCAAGCACTTGGGCGTCCTGCACTGCTTCCCAGGCCATGAGCCCCCGCTGGACGGCGAGGGAGCAGGCGAGTCTGTATGCTGGGGTGCCAACCCCAGAATCTCTCTTTTTTTAATTTTTTATATTATTATGAACATTTTATTTATTTATTTATTTAAGATTTATTTATTTTTATTACAAAGTCAGATATACAGAGAGGAAGAGAGACAGAGAGGAACATCTTCTGTCTGTTGATTCACTCCCCAAGTGGCCGCAAGGGGCAAAGCTGAGCTGCTCTGAAGCCAGGAGCTAGGAGTCTCCTCGGGGTCTCCCACACGGGTGCAGGGTCCCAAGGCTTTGGGCCGTCCTCCACTGCTTTCCCAGGCCGCAAGCAGGGAGCTGGATGGGAACTGGGGCTGCTGGGATTAGAACCGGCGACCATATAGGATCCTGGCATGTTCAGGGCGAGGACTTTAGCCACGATGTCACCACACCAGGTCCTAAAGTTTTATTATTAATGATGTTTACACAGTTGAGAAGGATGCATGCCCATGTGGACCACTGACCCCAGATCACCCAGCTGCCTGCCAGGGTTTGCACGCACAAGAGGCCAGCCCCGGGCACCCGGCCCTGACCTGCGCTCTGGGTGCTTTGGTCAGTGTGCAGAATGAGAGCTGGGTGAGTGTCCGGCTCTCGCATCCCCAGGCCGTGCCCGGCGTCCACCCTGCCTGCTCGGCGTCCGGCGGGGCTTGTCCGTGTGACCTGAGTGTCGTCTGCCATCTTGGGCACAGGGCCCCCACCTGCTCAGGGCTGGGCAGTCTCCGGTGGCTCATCCCTCGCGCCCCATCAGTGGGCCCAGGGCGGCTCCTGCCCCTCGAGGGCGGTGGGTGGTGCCGCATTCATTCCTCCCTGAGCACCTAAGGAACTCCGTGGGGAGGAGCCCATCCTTGTCCTCTGCCTGGCTTTGTGCTCCAGCTGGACGTGGAGGCTGCTGGGGCTACGGAGGGAGCAAGTCTGGGCCTGTGGCCTGAGCCTGCCTGTGGGGGTCGTGGGTCAGCTGCCCTCGCAGTGTCTTGGCAGCCTGGGCAGGGCCAGGGTGAGCAGCCACGGGCCGGTGGCTGGGAAAGGCTGCTCCGTCTAGGGAGGGCACGCAGAGAGCGCCACAATGAGTTGGGAGGATGGCGTGTGGGCTTCGGGCTGTTTGGGAGTGGGGACTGGTGTCTCTCTGGGGTGCAGGGATGCAGAGGTGGGGGCAGGGAGCCCAGTGCTGGGGCTGCAGAGAGCAAGAGGCCCACGTCGGTGGTGACGGGCGGTCAGGCAGAGGTGTGCTGGCCGCTGGACACACATGTACCAGAGCCGGTGGTCCAGGGTGGGGGCCAAGCGGCCTGGCACTGCCACTTTCTTCAGTCTTCAGGATGTGGCTAGGTCCTGGGCAGGGGCGCCGGGCCGAGAGCCAGAGGCACAGGGTTGGCCTTGTGGTGCTCCCACGCCGGGGAGGGGGTGTTGAAAGAACGAGGCTTCCAGGGAGGGGGTGTACTGTGAGGGGTCCCTGGGTGGGGACGCCTGGGGACTCGCAGAGCTTTGGGGTATCTGGTGAGGTGGGTGGCACCTGGGCAGAACGGCAGGGGGAAAGCATGGTGCAGCTTCCGCGTGAGGCAGTGCTGGGGCGGAGGGTCCAAGTCCAGGCCTGATGACGGACACGTGGGGAGGGGATGCGCAGGGAGAGGCTGGTGGGGGAGCAGCTGGACAAGCTGCGTGGGGGCGAGAGTGGGCGCTCCCACTCGGGGTGAGGGTCCCGCACCGGTGTTGGCCATCCTGCGTCCATGACTGCCACCTGCAGCTGTGAGGGCAGGCCTGGGTTGCAGAGGAAGAGGGGAGCCTGGGATGCACCCTTGGGGGTGGATGGGGCCCTGCACCTCTCCTAGGGCCTGGCTCCCGGGCCTCGCTCCTACTAGGGTGTCCTGGGACGCCCATGACTGCTCACAGATGGCGCCCCACCCGGCGGGGCTCTTGGCCCTGCCTTGGCTCCTGTGGGCAACTGGGAAATGAACCAGCAAATGAAAGGCCCCTCTCTCTGCCCTCCCCCTCATAGAGAGAGAATGAACAGGGTGAGGCCCACCCTGGATGAGGCTGTCCCATGGGCTGTGTGCTTGGCTGAGCAAGGGGTGTGGAGCACGGTCTCCAAGGGCCAGGTGTGGCTTCCTGAAACTGGCCCCTGGCCCCTGCAGGGCCGCCCCACCCACCTGCCCAGGGGACACACCTGCCTTATTACCCCAATGGCCCTCACCTGGGCTGGGCCTCACCTACCCAGGTGCCTCGGGCAGCTGCCGGAAGTGACGAGGGGCTGAGTCAGCGCCTGAGGCCCTGGAGATGCTGGGGGCAGCGGGGCAGGCGGAGGGGGCAGAAGGCCTGCAGAGCTGAGTCCTCCTTGGCCTGACCACCTGCTGTCCCAAGCCTGACCTGGGGTGGGCACTGATGCCTTGCATTAGCTGGACCCAAGTCCTGAGTGGGGTGAAGGTGTTTCCTGGCTGAGTTGAGTTGGAGCCTGTGTGGTGGGCAGCAGAGCCTGTCTGAGGGGTAAATAACCCATCCCCCAGGTGTCTGTACCCTCACCCTGTCGGGGGGCTGGCTGCATGGTGGAGGGCTCCGTGGGGAGGCCCTGAAGGCTCCTGGCCGCACGGTGGAGGGCTCCGTGGGGAGGCCCTGAAGGCTCCTGGCCGCACGGGGGAGGGCTCCGTGGGGAGGCCCTGAAGGCTCCTGGCCCCACGGTGGAGGGCTCCGTGGGGAGGCCCTGAAGGCTCCTGGCCACACGGGGGAGGGCTCCGTGGGGAGGCCCTAAAGGGTCCTGGCCGCATGGTGGAGGGCCCCGTGGGGGAGGCCCCATGGGGGTCCTGGCTGCACGGTGGAGGGCTCCATGGGGAGACCCCGCAGGGTCCTCGTCGCAAGTGAGTAGAGGGCTCCATGGGGGTCCTGGCCGCACGGTGGAGCGTGGAGGGCTCCATGGGGAGGTCCCATGGGGGTCCTGGCTGCACGGTGGAGGGTGGAGGGCTCCGTGGGGAGGCCCCGCAGGGTCCTGGTTCCGGCCCTGGTCGGGCCCAGGCCTGTTTGCCGTGGCCATCTGGGAGTGACCCAGATGGTCTCTGTCCCTCTCCATAATTCTGTGACTCACAGGAACAGATGGATGAATGAATGAGCCTTTTAAACAAGCCGCTGCCTCTGGTTTGTCCCAAGCTCCACCGTCCCCAGGGGACTCTGCGTGCTCTGTGAGGCCCCGGTTGGCCTGTCACTGCCGTCCATGCATCGCCAGCCTGTGCTGGTCCTGTGGGTCAGAAGGCAGCAGCACCCCCAACCTGGTCCCCCATGGCCCTGGGGTGTGATGCAGGTGTGAGGGGGGGTCCCCACGTGCTGAGTGCCCACGGGTGGTTTTCAGGGTGCGTGGAGGTGGTCTCTTTCTTTTTCATGCTTAGCTGCCGTTGACTAATTGTTGGCGTCACACCAGTCTCGTCTCCCCGTGAGTAGGGGTGCCCAGTTCCGCGTCGTTGGCCCATGTGTGTGTGTGCCACGGGCACCCCTGCTCTCCCCGCGCTTGCTGGAGGCCCCGCCATTGTCTGCAGCTGGGGGTTTTATTTTATTTTAAAGATTTATTTGTTTTTATTGGAAAATCAGATATACAGAGAGAAGGAGAGACAGAGGGAAAGATCTCTCTGCTGGTTCACTCCCCAAGCGGCCAGAGCTGAGCTGATTCGGAGCCAGCAGCCTCCTCCGGGTCTCCCACGTGGGTGCAGGGCCGTCCTGGACTGCTTTCCCAGGCCACAGCAGGGAGCTGGATGGGAAGCAGGGCTACCAGGACACGACCCTGCGTCCATATGGGATTCCACATGGCAAGGACTTTAGCCCCTAGGCTACCACACCGGGCCCAGGTTTTGTTTTCAAAAATTTAAAGTTTAGATCGTCTTTTCTTTTTAGACTTATTTATTGGAAGGAAGGAATGACACACAGAGAGAGAAAGATGGTACATTCAAGCCCCAGGTCACTTCCAGATGGCCACAGCAGACAGGGCTGGACTGGCCAGAGCCAGGAGCTAGGACCCCGCGGGGCCTCCTGGGGACCTGGGCTACCACCACTGTGTCCCCAGTGCCTTAGCTGGGAGCTGTCGGGAGGGGCAGGCACTGGCCCAGATCCTCTGTGGGATGGACCAACCCTCAGCCCGGGCGCCGCGCACGGCCAGGCCTGCTCAGACCCCCGGCAGGCCACGTGTGCGAGCGGGAGGCACTTTGCTGCAGCTGTCGCTGGCTCCTCTCAGGAGAGGGCTCTGGCCTGGGCACGGTGCTGCCCACCCAGGCCACACCCCTGCCAGGCCCTCCCAGCGTTGCTGGGAATTTCCAGAAAGATGCAGCACGGGGGTGAACTTGGGGTTCTCCTCCCAAGACCCCCACTCAGCGCCCCCACCAGCCTGGGAGCACATGGGCAAGGCAGGGCATGCTTGTCCACTTAGGGGGACGGGATTTCAACCGGCCAGGGCAGACTCGCATGGGGACCTGCCCTGGGTCCCAGGTGGGCGGTGGCCCAGGTGGGCGGTGGTCCCAGGTGGGCGGTGGCCTGGGTCGCACAGGCTGCCCTCCCCGCTGGGGCCATGTCCGGCCCAGGCACTCCAGCCTGACCCTGCTGCAGAGTGGCCGACCTGCATCCCTGGGAGATCCCTGCAGGAGAGCAGGCCAGGCAGTGGGGATAGAAAGGGTCGGGGGTCCCTGCCGCCAGCAGGGAGCCTGGGGGGCGGGTCCCCAGCTTCTGCTGCATCGTGGCCCTGCCCAGCCCCAGGCCTGTGGGTACTGGAGCGTGAGCCGTCAGATGGCGGCTGGCTTCTGCTGCTCACCACAGCATGGAGGCAAGCGCGGCTCCGCGATGACTCAGCCCTGTCAGGGAGAGCATCCTCTGGGGGCCTTGCCACTCCACACCCTGAGGCCCACACCCCTGTCAGGGAGAGCGTCCTCGGGGGGCCTTGGCCGCTCCACACCCTGAGGCCCACACCCCTTGGTTCCCCTCAGCCAGTTGTGCCATGAGCGGTGTCAGGCACATGCGCACTGGACGCTCCATGCTGACCCTCATCTGTGGGCTCCCTCCACGTGGGCACCGTGGACGCTCCATGCTGCCTCCCATCCATGGGCTCCCCCTCTTGGCCATGTTCCTGAGCCCTGCTGGGTGCGCTGGGAATGGTGCAGCCCTGTCCATGTTCATTCAGGGAGAGGGCTTAGGGCTGCCCCAGAGGGGGCCATGACTTCTGACCCACACTTCCCCTGCAGACCCCGACTGGGCCTCCTACACGCTGGGTGTGTTCATCTGCCTGAGCTGCTCCGGGATCCACAGGAACATCCCACAGGTCAGCAAGGTCAAGTCTGTGCGGCTGGATGCCTGGGAGGACTCACAGGTGGAGGTACGCGGCAGGGCCATGGGTGGTGGGGCGGGGCCAGGGCCATGGGGCGGGGCCAGGGCAATGGGGCGGGGCCTGGGCAATGGGGTGGGGTTTGGGGTGACAGGGCGGGGCCAGGGCCATGGGGCGGGGCCTGGGGTGACAGGGCGGGGCCAGGGCAATGGGGCGGGGCCTGGGCAATGGGGTGGGGTTTGGGGTGACAGGGCGGGGCCAGGGCCACGGGGCGGGGCCTGGGGTGACAGGGCGGGGCCAGGGCCATGGGGCGGGGCCAGGGCAATGGGGCGGGGCCTGGGCAATGGGGTGGGGCTTGGGGTGACAGGGCGGGGCCAGGGCCATGGGGCGGGGCCTGGGGTGACAGGGCGGGGCCAGGGCCATGGGGCGGGGTCTGGGGTGACAGGGCGGGGCCAGGGCCATGGGGCGGGGCCTGGAGTGACAGGGCGGGGCCAGGGCCATGGGGTGGGGCCTGGGCGATGGGGCGGGGTCTGGTATGGGCATGGAGCCTGGTGGGTGATTGGGTGGAACCTGGGGCGATGGGTGGTCCCTGGTGTGGGAGTGGTGCTGGTGGGTGGGGCCTGGGCACCCACCCCCACCCTGATCCCTGCCAGCCTAGCCGCCCTGTGCTGTGGACAGCGTGAGGCGTCCTGCAGCCCAGGCCCTCTAGGTTGTTCCTGGGGGCAAGGCCAGGGCAGGGGGCTGCTGGGACTGGGAGTGAGCCAAGTGTGTGCCCCGCGTGCCTTGTGCCCAGGCACAGCTCCCCTGTCCATGTCCTTGCCCCATAACCCAAGGTACCCTGCCAGCGGGGAGGGCTCCCGGGGCTGTGTCCGAGGCTGGGAGGGCTCTCGTGCCCGCAGGCTCTATGGGGCCACACAGGCAGGTGGGCCGTGTGCGGGCGCAGTCTCCTGTGCCAGCGTCATCCCTCCCGTCCAGGCCTCCAGGCCGGTGTGGCCTCTCCACTGCCAGCGCTGCCTGTGTGCCTGGACGCCCACTCCAGGCCCCAGCCTGGCTCGGCAGTGTTGCTCCCAGTGCTGGCTGCCAGGGGCAGGGGGTCACTAACCCTCACGTGTCCCATGGCCTGGGGACTGGTGGGAGTGTGACCCCAAACCCCCAACAAGGCTTGCTGTCCACAGGATCTTTGGAGTTCTCGCAAATGCTGATTTATCTGGAAGGAAGTGAGGGGCCAGTGCAGTGGCCCAGGGGCTAAACCCTCCGCCTTGTACGTACCGGGGTCCCACAAGGCTCTCATGGGTTGCCAGTTCATGTCCCAGATGCCCCACTTCCCATTCAGCCTCTGCTTGTGGTGTGGGAAGGCAGTCAAGGACAGCCCAAAGCCTTGGGACCCTGCAGCCCTGAAGAAGCTGCAGGCTCCTGGCTTCAGGTCAGCTCATCTCCAGCCATAATGGTCACTTAAGGAGTCTATCTCCTCTCTGTAACTCTGCCTTACCAACAAAATAAATCAGTCTTTAAAAAGAGAAGAAAAGAGAGAGAGCTTGATCTTGCACCCTGTGGCTCACTGCCCAAGTGTCCACAATGGCTGGGCCCAGCCAGCCTGCAGCCAGGGCCAGGGGCCTCTTCTGGGTCTCCCACATAGGTCCACGGGCCCCAGGACCTGGGCCATCCTCTACTACCTTCGCAGGCCCCAAGCAGGGTGCTGGCTGGGAAGTGGGGCAGCTCGCCTGGGCTGCCCGAGTGCTGGGCAGTGGCTTAACCGGCTGGGCTGCAGCCAGCGCCTGGCAGGTCCTCACCCTGCATGAGTGGGTATCCCCGTGTGAGAGCCGTGTGTGCTCACAGCCCCGCTGCAGCTCGTCACATCCAGCCCCTGGGCTCAGGCCCGGCTTTCCCTGCGAGGTCAGAGTTCACCCGCAATGCAGCCAGTCTCAGGCAGGGCGGCTTCTGAGAGAAAACAATGATTGATTCACAGGGACCGGGCATGGCACAGCAGAGCTGGCCCACCCCCACCCCCAGGAGCGGGGCAGAGCCTGGCTGAAGCTGGGAGCCCCACGCGGGTGCAGCTGCTCAGCCCTGGGGTGGGTTGGCAGGGAGCCGGAGGAGACGGGCTGGCACTGTGGCGTAACAGGGCAAGCCGCCTGCTGCTTCACTGGGTCCAGCTGGGCAGTTGTTTGTAGTCCCAGCCGGCCTCCATCCCCGCTATTGCTGCTGGAAAGCAGTGGGAGGGACCGAGCGCACGGACCCCTGTGCCCCCGCGGAAGACCCGGATGGGGCTGTGGCTCTTGGCCTAACCTGGCCCAGTCCTGGCTGTTGCTGCCATCTGGGAAGCAAACCCACGGATGGAAGGTCTCTCCATCTCCGTCTCTCTCCCTAACTCTGCCTTTCAAACCGGTGACTCTTAGAGCCGGAGGTGCCGGCGCTCTGCTGCGGCTTGTGGCCGGCCGTGAGCAGGCCGGACACCGCCTCTCCCCCGCTGGCTGAGTGACCAGGCCACAGTGCTTCCTGCGCAGGTCGGTGGCGGACTCCCGTGGGTCTGCGTCTCGTGACCTTTGAGGCCCTCCTACCCGCTCCCGGCAGTGGCCTGGCGGGCAGGAAGTCACAGCCGCAGTGGCCCTGGGCCCCTCCCTCCCCCGGGGACGTCCGCTGAGCCCCCTCCTCGCCCTTGGTCCCTGAGTGAGGGGGGATATGTGCCCAGAGCTGTGGTTTGTTCTCCCAAGCCCTTGGTTCATCTCCGCTGCGGCCCAGGATGGCAAGTGGAGCAGCCGGGACTGGAACCTGCACCCTGTGGGGTGCTGGTGGTCCCCACGGTCGCTGTTCCCCGGGGAATATCTGGCCCCTCCCACTGTCCTGCCGAGGCTGGGTCCCCCTGTGCACTCATTCACTCAGTGTCAGCAGAGAAGCCGCCCCGCCCCCGTGCCCTGGCTGCACCTTCCTGCGGCTGTCCGCTGCTCTGTGGTTAGCCAGTAGCTCTAAATTGATATTGAGAACCGTGGTGGTAAACCCCACCCCGGGGAGGGGGGGTGGAGTGTCCAATGGAAGGGCACATTTCCAGGAAGAGCCTTGGCCCCCGGCACCCACCTTGCCCCCCCATCCCCACCTTGCCCCCAGCCCCCACCTTGCCCTCCCAGCCCCCACCTTGCCTCCCCGTCCCCACCTTGCCCCACCAGCCCCTACCTTGCCCTCCCAGCCCCTACCTTGCCCTCCCAGCCCCCACCTTGCCCCCAGCCCCCACCTTGCCCCCCGGCCCCCACCTTGCCCCCGAGCCCCTACCTTGCCCCCCGGCCCCCACCTTGCCCCCCAGCCCCCACCTTGCCCCCATCCCCACCTTGCCCCCAGCCCCCACCTTGCCCCCAGCCCCACCTTGCCCCGAGCCCCTACCTTGCCCCCCGGCCCCCACCTTGCCCCCCAGCCCCCACCTTGCCCCCCATCCCCACCTTGCCCCGAGCCCCCACCTTGCCCCCGGCCCCACCTTGCCCCCAGCCCCACCTTGCCCCCATCCCCACCTTGCCCCTACTTTGCCCCCATCCCCACCTTGCCCCACCACCCCCCCCCTGGCCCCCCCACCCCCACCTGCCCCCCCCCCCGCCCCCACCTTGCCCTGAGGCTGGCGGCTCAGCAGAGGAGACCCCAATGGCTCGGTCCTCAGTGGACCGGCTGCCCGCACCTGGGACCTCCCTGGAGCCTCGTGTGTGTCCGTGGTGTCTTGAGCCTATACGTGTGTGAGTGCGTGTCGGCGTGCACATGTGTTCATACACATGTGGAGGAGCAGAGTTCAGTGTGGTCCTGAGGAAAGCCTGGGCCCCCAGCTACAAGCCCCTTCTGTACAGGAGCAGGCCAGGGACCCGGCTCCACATTCAGTCACGAGCATGGGCCACAGGGCGCCCATGAGCGTGGGCCCTGGGGGCTGGGGGTCCCCAGCTCCACATTCAGTCACAAGCCTGGGCCACGGGGGCTGGGCGCCCACGAGTGTGGGCCACGGGGGCTGGGTGCCCACGAGTGTGGGCCACGGGGGCTGGGCGCCCATGAGCGTGGGCCACGGGGGGTTAGGGTTTAAATGTAGTGAAGATGTTACATTCTTATGTGCAGCGACTTCCGGCAACCGAGTCCTTGTGTCATGGTTAATTTGCCACGAGCCGAAATAGCCCAAATCACAGATGCGGCGAGGTGCAGGGGAGGGCCTTCATTCAGACGGCAGCAATGGGAAGGGGTGGTGGGAGAGCCGAGAGGAAAAAGGGCAAAGCCTCCTGCCATGGTGGCAGGTGGGGCCTGCCAGGGCAGGGGAGGGGGCAAGATGGAGGACGAGGGCGGGGAGAAGGGGAGGGGACACACGTGGAACCCCAGGTGAGCCTGGAAGGTGGGGGCTTGGGGAATTGGCTGGGAGGGGCTGTGGGTGGGCCCAGGGACTGGTGACCGGGGTGATCTGAGCCACAGGTGGGTGGGGGGCCAGAGGGAGGGCTGCAGGGATGGGGGTTGGAGTTGCAGGGCAGAGGCCAGGTTACGTCTGATTGGTGGACAACTGAACAGCGCGAATTCCACGAGCTGTGGGAAGGGAGAAGCAGGAAGTGGCCCCGGGCCGAGCTGGGATGTTGGGATCGCTCCTCACCAGGGGTCTGGGTGTCCCTGGTCCGGCCCGGGCAGCTCTGTGCGGGCGTCTGACCAGGCGTTGCTCTCCCTTGCAGTTCCTGGCCTCCCATGGCAACGCCGCCGCCAGAGCCACGTTCGAGGCCCAAGTGCCACCCTTCTATTATCGGCCCACCTGCGCTGACTGCCCGTGAGTACAGGCTGTGCCGGGTGCCTCCTGCCCGTGGCCTTGGCGGGCCTCCCCGGATGTCCCTCCTGGGCCTGCTGCCGTGCAGGTGCTGGAAGGCTCAGCCCCCAGCCACACCCCAGTGCCCCTGGCAGGGAGCAGGGCCCCTGGCCAAGGCCTTGGAGACAACTGGCCATCTCCCTGCTCAGGGTGGGGAAGGCAGTGCTGCGGGGACTTGGTCAGGATGGTCCTCCGGCTACAGGCACCGGGCAGATCCCGAGTGGTGGGAACCAAGCACCCAGGAGCCACTGAGAGACGGGAAGCGGGCAGGGCTGCCCCAGGTGCTGAGGTGCCTGGCATGAGCCACAGGCCTAGAGGGGAAGAAGGGGGGACCCTCATGACCTGACCTTGGCCCCTTGCCGCTTCTGGGGAATGTTGTAAGTGGTGGTCGTGACCCAGGCCTTGCCTGGCCTTTGGACACCTGGGGCCCCCTCGGTGCACCCACAGTCTGTGGACACCTCGGGCCCCCCTCGGGTGCGCCCATGGCCTGTGGACACCTCGGGCCCCCCTCGGGTGCGCCCACGGCCTGTGGACACCTCAGGCTCCCCGGGTGCACCCACGGCCTGTGGACACCTCGGGCCCCCCTGGGTGTGCCCACGGCCTGTGTCCCTTTTGTCCAACCCTGGAGGACCAGGGCCTCCAGTGAGCTGACAGGCAGCCTTCCTGTTAGTCTGCTGAGTTTTATTTGTAAGCATTTGTGCGGCAGCCTGAGACGGGAAGGGAGGGAGAGCGCCCCCACCTGCTGGTTCACTGCCCAGATGGCTGCTGTGGGTGGTTCCTTGTGCACCTGTGCCCTGAGGGGTCAGGCCGGACCGGGGCTCTGTCAGTGCGGGGATGGATGGTCAGGGTGGAGAGGGCTGACGGATGCAGGAGTGGGGCGAGACTGGCGAGGGGACGTGGGAGCTGGGGCGGGGGGCAGGAGGGGTGTGAGGAGGGGGCGGGAGGGGTGTGAGGGGCGGGGTGGGCGTATTCCTGCGAATGGCCAGGTGCCGGGATGCCTGCCACCAGTGTGGGGACCCGGCCTGGAGCTGTGGCCGTGGGGATGCCCTCGCCGTCGGGGTCATGACAAGGCTGGACGTCTCGTGTGCACTCAGACTCCTGCGAGAGCAGTGGATCCGTGCCAAGTACGAGCGCCTGGAATTCATGCTGCCCGAGAAGCAGGAGCCCTATTCGGCGGGTGAGTGCGCCCCTGCAGCTCAGCAGTGGGGAGCCCCACGCATGGGGGACTGCAGCAGGCTGGCCGGGCTCTGACCACACCCGGCTCAGGTGCCACCACGCAGGGAAGTGCGTGCCTCTCCTGCTGTGCTTGCCGGGTTTGGGGAGGGAGGTGCCCGCTGGCCCCATGGCCAACCCCCCAGAGCCATAGCAGGGCAGCGGCCCGGGCCCTGCATCTCAGTCTCGGGGGAGCAGGAAGCAGTGGTGCCCAGAGCAGTGTGGCTCCAGCCTAAGCCCACCCGGCCTGTCCCAGCCAAGCCGAGGAACCGGCCAGCCCTGGAAACTGCAGCCAGGCCCGGGGTGCAGGGCCAAGGACCGGTCATGTGACCTCCAGGGCCATCCCAACCAGGAAGGGCACATGGCCCTGTGTGGGAGGGAGTGACCAACCGGTCAGCTGGGGATGCCACACCTGCGGGGGCGCCGTCACTCACCACGAGAAGGAGTGTGAGGACAGTGGGGGACAAGTGAGGGACAGAGTGGGACAGCAAGAGGATGGTGTGCGACAGTGTGAGTCACGTTGTGCCCGGTGGTGGCAGCACCATGAAACCTGGCTCAGAGGACACATCTGGGGTGGCCTCATCTGGGTTGGCCTCATCTGGGGTGGCCTCATCTGGGGTCGCCTCATCTGGGGTGGCCTCATCTGGGGTGGCCTCATCTGGGGTGGCCTCATCTGGGGTCGCCTCATCTGGGGTCACCTCATCTGGGGTGGCCTCATCTGGGGTGGCCTCATCTGGGGTGGCCTCATCTGGGGTCACCTCATCTGGGGTGGCCTCATCTGGGGTCACCTCATCTGGGGTGGCCTCATCTGGGGTGGCCTCATCTGGGGTGGCCTCATCTGGGGTCACCTCATCTGGGGTGGCCTCATCTGGGGTCACCTCATCTCGGGTGGCCTCATCTGGGGTGGCCTCATCTGGGGTGGCCTCATCTGGGGTGGCCTCATCTGGGGTGGCCTCATCTGGGGTGGCCTCATCTGGGGTCACCTCATCTGGGGTGGCCTCATCTCGGGTGGCCTCATCTGGGGTCACCTCATCTGGGGTCACCTCATCTGGGGTGGCCTCATCTCGGGTGGCCTCATCTGGGGTCACCTCATCTCGGGTGGCCTCATCTGGGGTGGCCTCATCTGGGGTGGCCTCATCTGGGGTGGCCTCATCTGGGGTGGCCTCATCTCGGGTGGCCTCATCTGGGGTGGCCTCATCTGGGGTCGCGTCTGCCCCAGCGTCCCTTGGCGCTTGGCCTGTGCTGTCCGGCTCTGTTTTGTGTCTGCATGTGTGTGCCCACCTTCCTTGCGTGCTGGAGACATCAGCTGGGCCCACAGGTACGTCAGACCGGAAGGACACAGTGCTGGCGGCCCAGGTCTGCCCTGGGTGGCACCCATCCCTGGCCGGGCTTCGGCATGGATCTCAGGGCGAGTGTGAACAGCGGCCTCGGCCCTGGCCTGCACAGGGCGCTGTTGAGTGGATGGCCACTGCCACACTGCCCAGCCCTCTGTGGGCCACGAGCTGCATGTCAGCTAGGGCTGGCATCCAGCCCACTGGGTCAGGTGGACAGGGCTGCAGGAGACAGCTCTGTCCCGACGGCCTGGGGAGGCAGCTGAAGGCCTGGTGGGGCTGGAGCCACCTGTGTGGCTGCAGGGGACGGGGCTCAGGGAGCCCTCAGGCTGTCTCTAGGCCCTGGAGAGGTCCCTGGGTGCTCTGCCGCCCTTGCCAGGGCAGGGCACTCACATTGACCTAGGGTCTGCTCACCGCTCCCCCATGAAGGAAGCCCCGAGCACTGGCCCCTTGCAGCGTCGCCCATGTCCCTGCTTTGCTGACCCCATGACAAGCAGTGGCTCGTGGGTGCTGACTTCTCCCAGGGCCCACCCTCCGTCCCCCAAGCCCTTTGCTGGCAGTCATGCCTGGGCCTCCACAAGGTTCTCAGCCTGTTCCCAGTGCTACATCCACTCCCACCTTGGACAGTGGGGGTACAGCCTGCCACCCCTGCCGTTGCCGGGCCCAGTACCTGGCAGTGAGTGGAGGGAGAGTAGCCGGAGGCTGGGCTCCCGTGGATGCCTGGGGTCACTTCCTGTCTGGGTGTGAGGATGGCCCCGCCCTGCCTCCTGCACAAATGCAGAAGCTCCCCCAAAACAGGAAGTGCTGGTGCAGACAGCCCCCCACCCCGGGGTGAGCTGGCTTTGGGGTTCCCAGGGCTCCACAGTTGCCACGCAGGCACTGCATGCTGGGGCTGTCCTCAAGGGCCCCCAGGGGTGTGGCTGGGCCCACACCACCCACGGCGGCCACGCGGGCACTGTGTGCTGGGGCCGTCCTCAAGGGCCCCCCAGCCACCTGTGCAGCCGCTCGTCCTGGACGCCCCCGGGGGGGGGGACCTGACCATCCGTGGGCTGTGTGCCACCCGTGGACTTTGTGCTGGTTCCACACTGTTCCTTGATCTGAAACTGGTTCAGGCCAGAAGGATGGGCTTGTGCTGGGGGGGTGGGGCCGGGCAATGGGGTTCCCCTGCTGGACGGGATCCTGTGTCCTGCCTGGCCTCATGGGGCCAGAGAGCAAGTGTCTGCTCAGGTCCTGCCCCACAGTCCAGGCTGGGCTATAGGGGAGGAACCCCAGGTATCAGGGTGCGGTGGGTGGGGCCCTGTCCTTGGGGCGTCTGTGACAGCTGTTCCTGGCTGCCTGTACTGTGCCCGCCTTGGGCCATGCCTCAATGGCTGCCTTTCATGGCGCCAGGACAATGCCTGCGCTGTCCCCGGCCAGGGCCGCCCACCTCCCCAGGGGCTTGGCATTCCCCCCCCGCCATGATGCCAGGCTGTTCCAACCTTTATCCTCAGTGTGGGGACCCAGGAGCCCCGCCCTGTCCCTGGGAGGCCCCCACCCCCACCCCAGCCACGTGATAGGTCCAACTTCACTGTCCTGTGTGGTCTGTGTCGCCACGCGTGTCTGTGCAGTCCATCGCTGTGTGCACCTGTGTGGTCCGTGTTGCTGCCAGCCTCTGAGACACCTGCCCTTTTTAACACACAGCACAGCTGCCCGTCTGGCTTGTGCCACCTGTGTGAGTTCTGGCTTCCCCTTGGCCATGTGGCAGCCTGGGTCTCGCCTTAGAGGAAGTTGCTGGCCGTTCCTCAGGTGCCCATGGCAAGGCGGCTGCCCCACATCCCTAGCCATGCTGGGAGCAGCCCCTGGAGGGGACGCAGGGTTGGCTATCTCTCCGAGGCAGGAGGAGAGGCTGCGGGGCAGGTGTTGGCGTGAGAGCGTACCTCTGCTCCATGGGGTGACCACGGGCCTGTGTCCCCATGACAGAAGTGAGGCTCGTCCAGTGAGGACACTGGCTGGGGCCGGTCGCGAGGACACTGGCTTGGGCTCGGGCACCCTGTCCCCAGGAGGGAGGCTGGATGGGGGCTGCCTGGTGATGCTGCATGCCGCCAGGCACCGGGGCAGTGCGGGCTCAGCCTGTGCTGGCTTCAGGTCTCTCGGCTGCTGCTGCCACCTTCTGGACACGATGGATGTGGCAGCAGTTCCTACAGGGTACCCAGCTGGGTGGCTGGGGTGGAGGGTGCTGCTGGGGGAGAATCTGGTGGTCAGGCCTGGCTCACAGCCGACGTGGCGTGGGACCTGGGGGCAGGGGGGTTGTAGGGCCTCCCTCAGGATGGCCAAGAACTGGGCACGTCCAGACGTCCACTGGCTGGTGTCTGGGAGACCATGGGGGCCGCATGTGCAGTGGACTCTTTCTTGACCAGGAGAGGTACAAGGAGCGGGGTTTGGGGGGTGCTGGGAGGCAGCGCCTGGAGCTCACAGCTGGGGCCAGAGCCAATGCCCCATGGGACATGGCTGGGCCGTAAGTTCCTGGGAGACCTCTCGCTACTGCCCCAGTTCTGGTGGCCACACAGCCCCTCTGCCCCTGAGCCGGGGAGCCTGGGTGGCTCAGGATGCCCTCCTGAGGGAGTCCCTTGGGCAGCGAGTTCTTCCGGGCAGGGGCAGTTAGCATCCATCTTCTCTGTGCCACTCAGTGTGGTGCAGCCCCAGGGGGCAGGACAAGGACAGTGGCAGCTCTCCCTGCTGGGCTTGGAGCCGTGGGCACCAGGCCTGGCCCGCTGGGCTGGCAGTGCAGAGGGCTGCAAGGGCTGCTCTGACGGGTGCTGGGTGCCCATGCCAGGCAGGTGGCTCAGAGAGGCTAGGGTGCCACGCGTGTCCCTGAACAGGCTCCCAGGTGTGTGGGGCAGAACCCCCCATTTCCTGGCTTGCTGGGTAGCCGAATGGGCAGCCAGCTGGGTGGGCAAGGCCGCAGCTCCTCATGGATCATGGCCCAGGAGTGTGTGTGTGGGAGGGTGCATGTGGTCATGGGGGACGGGGCACAGCTTGTGCCTACAGGGTGGGGGTGGGGGGCTGCGAGGTGCCTCGCCTGCCTGGAATGCCAGCGTCGCACTGCCCACCCCCTGATGGCTGCATCTCCCCAACAGGGTACCGGGAGGGTTTTCTCTGGAAGCGTGGCCGGGACAACGGGCAATTCCTGAGCCGGAAGTTCGTGCTGACGGAACGTGAGGGGGCCCTCAAGTACTTCAACAGAAATGATGTGAGCAGGTGCCAGGCAGGGCAGCGGGGGCTGCATGTGGCCAGTGGTGGGGTCCCCTCCCAGCTGGCACTGCCAGGGCAGATGGCCACACTGCAGGCCAGCTCAGGACACAGCTGGAAGTGGATGGTCCAGCTCTGCAGGATGTGCCCAGGGGTAGGACACACTATCGCTCTGGTGAGGGCTCGTCTGTGGGGACAAACCACGAACAGGGGACATGGACAGACCACAGACTCCCTGTGGGGGGACACAGACCCCTGTGGGGATACAGACCCACAAGGATGGGCAGCCATGAGAACACTTCCCTCAGGTACACACGGAGGACACTCCTATGGGTCCTGGGTGGGTCTCACCTTCCAGGTGCTGCCCCTCAGCCGGCTCATCCCTGTCGGCGCACCTAGCCCAGCCCTGGGCAGTGGGTGCAGCCCCACTCCTGCTCACAGCACCTCTGTTTATCCGGGGACTGGATGAACGTGGTGGGAGGGCTGGGGTCTCCAGGAGGCGCTGTGGCGCCCAGCGCAGGTCTGAGTCTAGGATAGCCGACGGGTTGGGGGTGGGGGCACAGTCCCCTCCTGCGGGATGTAGCCCCCACCCCCAGGGCCAGGCTGTGGCTCAGCCCACTCTCCCACCTGCTCACAGGCCAAGGAGCCCAAGGCTGTGATGAAAATTGAGCACCTCAATGCCACCTTCCAGCCAGCCAAGATTGGCCACCCGCATGGCTTGCAGGTCACCCACCTCAAGGACAACAGTACCCGTAACATCTTCATCTACCACGAGGACGGCAAGGTGGGGCTCCAGCCGGGGGGCCACGGGGCCTGGGAGGAGCTGGGGCTGCCCAGATGGCCACCAGGGCCGGTGCAGTCAGCGACCCTGGCCTGGAATGGTGCCCTTGCATGTGTGTCCCCCTCTGCTCCTCAGGGTGCAGCTGGCCTGGTCCCCCTTGGTTGTCTGTCCATCCTGCCCTTGGGGACCAGTCCAGGGTGTGGGAGGTCTCCAGAACCCCCCTCTGCAGGGCCAGAACCTGGCATGCCAGGGAGGCAGGCTCTGGCCCAGTGTTCCGAGGGGTGGGGATGGCAGAACAGTGTGCGTAGGGACCTGCGGGCGGGGGGGGGACGGGGTGCGCTGGTACTGTGTGGGTGACCCCACTGGCCTGACACCTGTTGGGGTCCCAGGCTGCTGGGTGCTGCTGGGCTTGGTGGTCAGTGGCATGGCAGCAGCGTGGGTCTGGGAAAGGAAGAAGACACAGGGGCCTGCCCGCCATCAGAGTGGCCACAGCACACGGAGAAGACGCTGCCCAGGGGCCCTCCTGGCCACACAGCCCATACTGGCCCTTGGGTACTTCCCGGGTGGGGATGGGGCCCAGCTCCGCCTGCCGCCGCCGACCCCTCTCCCTCTGCCCCCAGGAGATTGTGGACTGGTTCAACGCGCTACGAGCTGCCCGCTTCCACTACCTGCAGGTGGCGTTCCCGGGGGCCAGCGATGCAGAAGTGAGTGGCTGGCCTGCGGGCTCCCCCAGGAGCAAGGGCCCCCGAGGTGGGGTGTGTGTCCGGGGTGGGGGCCACGTGGGCAGCTGGGCTCCAGCTCCATCCTGGCCCTCTGTGTCCCAGCTGGTGCCGAAGCTCTCCAGGAACTACCTCAAGGAAGGCTACATGGAGAAGACGGGGCCCAAGGTAGGTGTGGGGGTGCCCCGAGCTGTGCTGGGGGGCTGCCCCGAGTCTGCACCCAGCAGGGCCGAGGGCCAGCTCCTCACGGCCACCCTGACCCACAGCAAACCGAGGGCTTCCGCAAGCGCTGGTTCACCATGGATGACCGGAGGCTCCTGTATTTCAAGGACCCGCTGGTGAGGAGCCCGGGGCTGCTCCTGGGCGGGTGGGCAGGCGGGGTGGCCGGCCAGGGACCAGAGGGGCCATCTGTCGCAGGACGCCTTCGCCCGTGGGGAGGTCTTCATTGGCAGCAAGGAGAGTGGCTACACGGTGCTGGAGGGGCTGCCGCCATCCACCCAGGGCCACCACTGGCCACACGGCATCACCATCGTCACGCCTGACCGCAAGTTTCTGTTCACCTGCGAGACGGAAGCCGAGCAGCAGGAGTGGGTGCAGGCGTTTCAGAAAGTGGTGGCCAGGCCCATGTTGCCACAGGAGTATGCAGGTGAGGGGCGACCGGGGTGCGGCCTCTCCTGGGCACGCAGCTGGGGGCCACCTGACGCCCATTCTATTTGCAGTGGAAGCCCACTTCAAGCATAAACCCTAGCGGAGGCAGCTGGACACCCGGGGACCCCGGACACGCGACGTGGCTGTCAGTAGCTGCGATGGGGGGTGGGGGGCTGTGCACATGGCGAGCCCAGGCTGAGCTGCGTCCCCACCAGAACTGGCCTTGGGGCTGACTGGGCACCCAGGCCCTCAGTACCAACTCCCCCAGAGGCTCCCTGCCTCTAAGCAGGACTCAAGAGCTGGCTGCTGCACACACACGCTGTGGCCCGAGGGACTGTGCCCTCGCCCTGCCCCCTCGCCCTGCCCCCTCCAGTATTTATTGGGCACTGCTGCATGGGCAGTGAGCAGTGTGTGCACAGCTCCTGGGGACCCTCTGCTGGCTGGAGGCCCCCACCTTGCCCCTGGCCCACAGCCAGCCCTTTTGGGCTGCCCAGCCGCTGCACTCTGAGAACCCCGTGGCCCTGGCTTTTGTGGGTGCTGACCAGTGGCCACTGCCCGCCCATGCCCAGCTTGCCCTCCCTGCTGGCTGCTGGCAGGCCAGTGGCTAAGGCCACAGTGGATGTGTCACCTGCAGGTGCCCTGGCTACTCCCCCAGCTCCCCCACCCTGCCCCGGGTGTGTTCAGCACACACACGTGTAGGCCTGCATGTGGAGTGTGCACGGTGGACAGCCACGACCTTAGCAAACCCCAGACCCAGCTCTGGATGGAAGATGCCCCTACGAGGTGGCGGTGGTGGCGGGAGCCCATGGCAGCCCTTCCTGTCCACCCCGTGTTGGGGTTCTGAGTGCACAAACCCACAATAAATGGCACTTGACCCGCACGGTCTTGAGGTGTGTGGGGCTGGGGGCACGAGGCGGTGTCTTCTGGCTCCATGTCCATCTGTCTACCTGTGCCCAGGCCCACTGCAGACCCTCCACCTGCTGGCTGCATGCGATCCTACAGGTGCTGTGGTCCTGTGGGGTGCCCCTACCAGGTCACCCCTCTCCCCTCCATCCCTGTGACCAAAGGGCTCCTCAAAGCCACGACCTCCACCCTGGCCCGTCAGTCTCCGAGTCTGCTGGCCGCTCTGCGGCCCATGTCCCAGCCCACATGGCAGAGCCGGGCACGCGCAAAGGACCACGGCTGCACGCCTGGTGCACAGGTTTATTTACACGCATATTGACACAGGCCTCCACGCTCCCCCAGCTGCCCGCTGCCTCTGGGGCCGCGGCTGGCATCCAGAGCCCTCGACCGGCAGGCGGGCTTCCACGTCCCGTCGGCACCTCAGCTCCGTGGCTTGGACGTCTGCACTTCCTGCCCTGCTCAGAGGGCCACCAGTGCCCAGGAAAAAAATCCATCCAGGCACCCCGGGGAGCCCCAGGCTGACCAGCCACTGCCCAGCCTGAGCTTGGTGCTCCAGCTTCCGGGTTCTGTCCATGGGCACCAGCAAGACCCCAGGCATCCAACAAAAACAGGATGAAGAAAACTTTAGTTTGCAGGCCATAGGCAGCCCACACACCTGAGCGGCCGCTGCCTCCCAGGCCCCGGCAGGGCACCAGGCGTGGGACGCAGGCCCAGCCGGTCCCTCTGCCCGCCCCACAGAACCAGAAACAAAGCAGCGGGAGAGGGAGGCGCCATGGCAAGGCCTGTGCTTTATTGCGGGTCATCGGAGGGGACGCGGTGGCGGCAGCAGGCTCGGCCGCACAGCATGGGCAGCTGCACAGCCCTTGGCCACCTGACACCCCCACAGACACCACACGGGCACCCCCGGCCTCCGACCAGGCACCCATGGGTGCGAGGAGCCACGCTGCAGGTCCTTGCCCGGCACGTCCCTCGGGCATCCACGTGGCGCCTGCACGCAGGCCGCGCTCAGTCCAGCTCGATGGGGCTGCCACCGCAGGGGCTGTCCTCGCCCTCCTCCTGCTCCGAGGAGCCCATGAGGCTGCTCAGCAGGTCCCCTGTGCAACAGTGGGTGGTGTGAGGGAACCGCGGGCACCCAGTGAGGCCTGGGTCAGGACCTCAGCCAGCCCCCCAGAACATGGCTGGCAGGGCTGCCCACGGTCAGAGCAGGTGGGCACACCTGGGGCAAGACTGCCACCATCTGGAAGCTCCTGGACACTACAGCGAAGCGTGGATGGGAGCAAGGCTGGGTGGTCTGGGCCTCAGGTCCTCGAGGTGCCAGGCTGAGCTGCAGTGCCAGCCTCAGCTAGTGAAGGCCTTTGGGACCCCCACACAGCCAGGGCACGAGGGTGCACACCCACCCTGCCCCCTGCCAGGGAGCAGCTCAGGACGGCTCCTCCGTGCCCGAGTGGACAAAGGGACATGGACAGGCCTGAAATGTGGCCTGCAAACCAGCAGTGTGGGACCTGCTGGGCACGGTGCTGTGGGCACAAAACAGCCACAGCCCGTCACAGCCATGCACGCCAGGGGAGCAGCAGCCCAGGGAATGGGCCCCGTCTTACCGAGCAGGCCCCCGTAGGATGACGTCTGCTTGGGTGGCACCCCGAAGAAAAGCTGTCCTATCCTGTCGAGGTACTGCAGGGACAGGCAGCGGTTATGGGGGGCTGCACGCTGCGCCTGACCCTACCTGTGGCAGCCAGGGGGGGCCTTACCTCATTATACATGGGGTCTCTCCGCAGCGACGGCTGGTACTGCTCACACAGCACTGTGAACACGGCCAGCTTCCCGCTGCGGGTGCAGGACAGGCTTGATGTCAGCGTCCAGACATGGTCACACCCCGCACCCAAACCCCTCACTGCCCCGCACCCATACTCCACCCATACACCCCGCACCCACTCCACAGCCCCGCACCCACTCCACAGCCCCGCACCCACTCCACAGCCCCGCACCCACTCCACCTCACAGCCCTGCACCCACTCCACCTCACAGCCCCGCACCCACTCCACCTCACAGCCCCGCACCCACTCCACCTCACAGCCCCGCACCCACTCCACAGCCCCGCACCCACTCCACCTCACAGCCCCGCACCCACTCCACCTCACAGCCCCGTACCCACTCCACCTCACAGCCCCGCACCCACCTCACAGCTCCACACCCACACTCCATCTCACAGCCCCGCACCCACTCCACAGCGCTGCACCCACTCCACCTCACAGCCCCGCACCCACTCCATCTCACTGTCCCGCACCCACTCCATCTCACTGTCCCGCACCCACTCCACCTCACAGCCCCACACCCACTCCACCTCACAGCCCCGCACCCACACTCCACCTCACAGCCCCGCACCCACTCCACAGCCCCGCACCCACTCCACAGCCCCGCACCCACTCCACCTCACAGCCCCGCACCCACTCCATCTCACTGTCCCGCACCCACTCCATCTCACTGTCCCGCACCCACTCCACCTCACAGCCCCGCACCCACTCCACCTCACAGCCCCGCACCCACTCCACCTCACAGCCCCACACCCACTCCACCTCACAGCCCCGCACCCACTCCACCTCACAGCCCCGTACCCACTCCACAGCCCCGCACCCACTCCACCTCACAGCCCTGCACCCACTCCATCTCACTGTCCCGCACCCACTCCACCTCACAGCCCCGCACCCACTCCACAGCCCCGCACCCACTCCATCTCACTGTCCCGCACCCACTCCACCTCACTGCCCCGCACCCACTCCACCTCACAGCCCCGCACCCACTCCACCTCACAGCCCCGCACCCACTCCACCTCACAGCCCCACACCCACTCCACCTCACAGCCCCGCACCCACTCCACCTCACAGCCCCGCACCCACTCCACAGCCCCGCACCCACTCCACAGCCCCGCACCCACTCCACCTCACAGCCCTGCACCCACTCCATCTCACTGTCCCGCACCCACTCTACCTCACAGCCCCGCACCCACTCCACAGCCCCGCACCCACTCCATCTCACTGTCCCGCACCCACTCCATCTCACTGTCCCGCACCCACTCCACCTCACAGCCCCACACCCACTCCACCTCACAGCCCCGCACCCACTCCACCTCACAGCCCCACACCCACTCCACCTCACAGCCCCGCACCCACTCCACCTCACAGCCCCGCACCCACTCCACAGCCCCGCACCCACTCCACAGCCCCGCACCCACACTCCACCTCACAGCCCTGCCCCAACTCTACCTCACAGCCCCGCACCCACTCCACAGCCCCGCACCCACTCCACCTCACAGCCCCGCACCCACACTCCACCTCACAGCCCCGCACCCACTCCACAGCCCCGCACCCACTCCACCTCACAGCCCTGCACCCACTCCACAGCCCCACACCCACCTCACAGCCCCGCACCCACTCCACCTCACAGCCCCGTACCCACTCCACAGCCCCGCACCCACTCCACCTCACAGCCCCGCACCCACTCCACAGCCCCACACCCACCTCACAGCCCCGCACCCACTCCACCTCACAGCCCCGCACCCACTCCACCTCACAGCTCCACACCCACTCCACCTCACAGCTCCACACCCACTCCACCTCACAGCTCCGCACCCACTCCACCTCACAGCCCCGTACCCACTCCACAGCCCCGCACCCACTCCACAGCCCCACACCCACTCCACCTCACAGCCCCGCACCCACTCCACCTCACAGCCCCGCACCCACTCCACAGCCCCACACCCACTCCACCTCACAGCCCCGCACCCACTCCACCTCACAGCCCCGCACCCACACTCCACCTCACAGCTCCACACCCACACTCCATCTCACAGCCCTGCACCCACACTCCAGTGTGTGGAGTCCTTGCACCACCCTGCCGCACCCTGGCCCTCTGCCTTCCTCTGCCAGCCTCACCCGTCGAGCGCCAGCAGCAGGAACCAGATGAAGTTGAGCAGGGGCTGCACGAAGGGGGGCCCGCCTTCGATGGACGGGTGCTTCTGCGTGTACGTCGTGAAGACCACCAGCGCACTGTTCTTGTTCTTCAGACAGAGGAACCTGGCGGCACCCGGGGGGACAGAGCGCTTGAGGACGAAGCGGGCCGGACGCCGTGCCAGCCAGGCCGAGGCTCTGCCCTCGGGGGGCCATGCCTGTGCTGGCTCTGCTTCCAGGCAGCACCCGGCCCCAGGCCCCAGCCCAGAGCGGGGAGCTCTGCTTCCAGCTCCAGCAGCTGCGTCCCTCACTGGGAGCTCACCCTGCACCCAGCCTCAACCTCACAGGACAGACCCGGCCCTGGCACACGCAGGCAGACCTCAGCTCCCACCTCACCCCGTCCCCCAGCACCCAGCACCCCCTGCCCTCCCTGGCAGACCTGCATTCAGCCCCCATGTCCATGACAACCGGGCATCCCGCCCCGGGAATGGCCCAAGCACAGACCGGGTACCAAGTACCTACTGTAGGACAGCCTGGGCCACGAACATGTCGGCCTCGCTGCGGAAGCCCCTCGAGGTGGAGTACTCGACCAGCATGTGGGCACAGCCCTCCCCGTCCGTGGAGTGCAGGAAATGGTACCGCGACTCACAGTAGTTCTGTTCTGCAGGGGGACAGCGGCATGACACACACGGCCACTGACCTGGCTCACGTGCCTCGCCAGCCGGGGCTCGCCAAGCAGGCCCTGGGCAGCCCAAGGCCACAAGGTGTGCCGAGCCTGACCTACGTCACAGGCCCACACGGACACGCTGACGGCAAGTTCACGTGCAGATGCGTGATGCAAGGCGCCGTCAGAGTGCTGGTAGCTTATGCTCCTGCAGGCGAGGCCCGGGCTGAGGGGGCCTGTCTGTCCTGACTCCCTGCACTCTGGGCCAGCCTCTGCAGAGGGCAGCAGCCGAGCTGGGCACAGCCCCTGCAATGAGTGGCGCCCCAACTCCTTCAGGGGATGACAGCATGCTGCCTCAGGGAGCAGAGCACAGAAGGGGCACGGGGATCAGCTGGGGTCAGGCCTGGGGAGCAAGGGGCACTGTGTCCATGTGGGGGTGTCAGGGATGAGGAGAAGGGGCGCTGTGTCCATGTGGGGGTGTCAGGGATGAGGAGAAGGCGCGCTGTGTCCATGTGGGGGTGTCAGGGATGAGGAGAAGGGGCGCTGTGTCCATGTGGGGGTGTCAGTCAGGGATGAGGAGAAGGGGCGTTGTGTCCATGAGGGGGTGTCAGTCAGGGATGAGAAGGGGTGCTGTGTCCATGTGGGGGTGTCAGTCAGGGATGAGAAGGGGCGCTGTGTCCATGTGGGGGTGTCAGGGATGAGGAGAAGGGGCGCTGTGTCCATGTGGGGGTGTCAGGGATGAGGAGAAGGGGCGCTGTGTCCCTGTGGGGGTGTCAGGGATGAGGAGAAGGGGCGCTGTGTCCATGTGGGGGTGTCAGTCAGGGATGAGGAGAAGGGGCGCTGTGTCCATGTGGGGGTGTCAGTCAGGGATGAGGAGAAGGGGCGCTATGTCCATGAGGGGGTGTCAGTCAGGGATGAGGAGAAGGGGTGCTGTGTCCATGTGGGGGTGTCTGTCAGGGATGAGGAGAAGGGGCGCTGTGTCCATGAGGGGGTGTCAGTCGGGGATGAGGAGAAGGGGCGCTGTGTCCATGAGGGGGTGTCAGTCAGGGATGAGAAGGGGCGCTGTGTCCATGTGAGGGGGTGTCAGAGATGTGCAGGAGAAGGGGCCCTGTGTCCATGAGGGGGTGTCAGTCAGGGATGTGCAGGAGAAGGGGCGCTGTGTCCATGTGGGGGTGTAGGTCAGGGATGTGCAGGAGAAGGGGCGCTGTGTCCATGTGGGGGTGTCAGGGATGAGGAGAAGGGGTGCTGTGTCCATGTGGGGGTGTCAGTCAGGGATGAGAAGGGGCGCTGTGTCCATGTGGGGGTGTCAGTCGGGGATGAGGAGAAGGGGCGCTGTGTCCATGTGGGGGTGTCAGGGATGAGGAGAAGGGGCGCTGTGTCCATGTGGGGGTGTCAGTCAGGGATGAGGAGAAGGGGTGCTGTGTCCATGTGGGGGTGTCAGTCAGGGATGAGGAGAAGGGGCGCTGTGTCCATGTGGGGGTGTCAGGGATGAGGAGAAGGGGTGCTGTGTCCATGTGGGGGTGTCAGTCAGGGATGAGAACGGGCCCTGTGTCCATGTGGGGGTGTCAGTCGGGGATGAGGAGAAGGGGCGCTGTGTCCATGTGGGGGTGTCAGTCGGGGATGAGGAGAAGGGGCGCTGTGTCCATGTGGGGGTGTCAGTCAGGGATGAGGAGAAGGGGTGCTGTGTCCATGTGGGGGTGTCAGTCAGGGATTTGGAGAAGGGGCGCTGTGTCCATGTGGGGGTGTCAGTCAGGGATGAGGAGAAGGGGCGCTGTGTCCATGAGGGGGTGTCAGTCAGGGATGAGGAGAAGGGACGCTGTGTCCATAAGGGGGTGTCATGTCAATCAGGGATGAGGAGAAGGGGCGCTGTGTCCATGTGGGGGTGTCAGTCAGGGATGAGGAGAAGGGGCGCTGTGTCCATGTGGGGGTGTCAGTCAGGGATGAGGAGAAGGGGCGCTGTGTCCATGTGGGGGTGTCAGTCAGGGATGAGGAGAAGGGGCGCTGTGTCCATGTGGGGGTGTCAGGGATGAGGAGAAGGGGCGCTGTGTCCATGTGGGGGTGTCAGGGATGAGGAGAAGGGGCGCTGTGTCCATGTGGGGGTGTCAGTCAGGGATGAGGAGAAGGGGCGCTGTGTCCATGTGGGGGTGTCAGGGATGAGGAGAAGGGGCGCTGTGTCCATGTGGGGGTGTCAGGGATGAGGAGAAGGGGCGCTGTGCTCACAGGGAGTTCTGGCCACCCCTTGTCCCTCCTCAAATCTCCCGACCAGTCTGGACAGACAGGTGAGCTCCACCAACTGGCCCAGACAGTGCGCTCAAAGCTGAGGAAGTACTGGAAGGCCCCCATTGGGTGCCCAGCCTCACCTTTCCATAGCGTGAGGGCCAGCAGCTGGTGGAGTCGGGGATGGCCCAGCTTCCCGGAGCCTCCGCTGGACCATTTGAGGGCTCGGGACACAAAAGCCACTCGCTCTGGAGAATTGGGGTCCATCAGGCTAAACACGGTGGCCAGGTTCTCTGCAAACACACAGAGCATCAGGACCTGGACACACAGTGCTGCCCCGGCTGCAGCCAGCACCTGCCTCAATGTCTGTGCTGCCTGGCCAGCCCCTGGCTTCCCGGCAGTGGAGCTGGCCCCGTTTTGTTCCCAGCAGGGCGGGCTGCTGGCCCCACAGCACCCAGAGGCCACAGGGTGTCCATGTAGGGGTGTCAATCAGGAATGGGCAGGAGAAGGGTCCCTGTGTCCATGAGCAGAAGAGGCTGGGTTGGCATTCTGCTCACCCTGCAGCTGGGCAGCTCAGAAGGGTGTGGTCAGCTGCATAGTCACCAAATGGACGGGCCAACAAGCCACGTCCCGGGTCAGAAGGGTGCCCAGCCGGCTGGATGGCTGGGCAGTCACCGCCCATTGAGAACCGTGACTGAGTGGATAGAACGGGGACAGCTCTGCCACACTGTTTGAGGGGCTGGCACAGGGACACAGCATCACCCAAGTAATCCCGACCAGGAGCCACCAGGGTGGGGCCCGAGACAGCCTGCTGCTCACCCAACAACTCCTCGGTCACGTCCACCTCCGCCTTCTCCAGCGACTCCAAGACGAGCATGGACAGGTCTGCGGCACTGTTTTGCTATGAGACAAGACACGAAGCTTGGCCACGTCCAGGGCAGATGCCAGCCAGTGGGGCAGTGACTTCAGCCCCCAGACACGCATGATGGCCACCATAGGCAGCCCTGCAGGAAGGATCCCAGGACCTGTCCCCCCAGTCCACTCCTCCAGGGGGCAGAGGACCCCAGGACCCATGTACCAGTCCACTTCCCCAAGCAGGACAGGACCCAGGCTGCATACTTGGCCATGGCTGAAAAACAGCAGGGCTCCAGAGTACATGAGCTCACGGGCCTCCACATGCTTGCTGTGGGACATGTACCTGCAAGACAGGGGGAGGAGTGAACGAGCACAGCCCCGGCCCGAGTCCCCCGGCGTGAGCGCAGCCCCATGTCCCCCCTGTGTGAGCGCAGCCCCGGCCCGTGTCCCCCGGCGTGAGCGCAGCCCCATGTCCCCCGGCGTGAGCGCAGCCCCATGTCCCCCCTGTGTGAGCGCAGCCCCGACCCGTGTCCCCCCCCCCGATGTGAGCGCAGCCCCGGCCCGTGTCCCCCCTGTGTGAGCGCAGCCCCATGTCCCCCCTGTGTGAGTGCAGCCCCGGCCCGTGTCCCCCGGCGTGAGCACAGCCCCAGCCCGTGTCCCCCGGCGTGAGCGCAGCCCCATGTCCCCCGATGTGAGCGCAGCCCCGGCCCGTGTCCCCCGGCGTGAGCGCAGCCCCGGCCCGTGTCCCCCCGATGTGAGCGCAGCCCCGGCCCATGTCCCCCTGGCGTGATCACAGCCCTGGCCCGTGTCCCCCCGATGTGAGCGCAGCCCCGACCCGTGTCCCCCCTGTGTGAGCGCAGCCCCGGCCCATGTCCCCCAGCGTGAGCGCAGCCCCATGTCCCCCCGATGTGAGCGCAGCCCCATGTCCCCCCGATGTGAGCGCAGCCCCGGCCCGTGTCCCCCGGCGTGAGCGCAGCCCCGGCCCGTGCCCCCCCCCGTGTGAGCGCAGCCCCGGCCCGTGCCCCCCCCCCGTGTGAGCGCAGCTTTGGCCCATAACCCCCTTTGTGAGCACAGCCCCGGCTGGTCCACTGCTGCAGCTGCTTGCCCAGCAGGCCTCTTCAGGGTTGCAGCTGTTCCCCGCAGCCACTGTGGCCCAACGCTGCAGAGCCCGCCTGCTACCTCTGCACACTCGGGCAGCAGGTACAACAGGGAGGAGCAGGGGACCCACACATTGCGCACTTGGGAACAGGGGACTCCACTGGGCCCTGTCCACACTGCGGCTTGCTCAGGAAGCTGGGAAAAGTTGCCTTCCAGGTACAGCAGGTACTTGAGGGACGGGGTGTATTCACACTGGTTCTGGGACACAGTTCTGAACTTCGCTGTCCGAGACCTCTGCAAAGCTTGACGGCTCAGGAGACAGGGCGGGGTGGGGGAGGCCCCTGGAGTGAAGGCGCCAACTCCTGGGCCAGGGACCTGGCTGTTGGGCACCAGCGGCCAGCCTGAAGCAGATGAGGTTGTCACTTCTGCCCAGTTCAGACCCAAGCTGTTGGGCCATGGAAGGGACAGAGCCGTGTCTCACTCGGGGTGCTGCTGCGCACTACAGTGGGCTCACAGCAGGGCAGCCGTGCAGTGTTTGGGGTTTACTTTGCTTTATTTTACACAAACACAAATGAGGGCAGCACACTAATCTTCCACCTGCGGTGCCAGCTTCCTGTATGGGCACCGGTTCACATCCCGGCTGCTCCCTGCTGATGACCTGGGAAAGCAGCTTTGGAACCCTGCACTCGTGGAAGGCCGGGAGGAAGCTCCCAGCTAGGGTGCTGACAGCCACCTGCGTCCCCAGCCAGCTCAGGCAGAGCTGTGACACTGATGCCACTGGCCGAGTCACAGCTGCCAGGCTGGCCACACCTGCCCTCCGTGGGACATGGCACACCACGGACAAGGTGACTTCCGTGACCTTGCCTGGGGTGACAAGTGGCAGACGGTGCAGGGGAGGACCACAGGCCGCTGCAAGGGCAGGCATGGTGACAAGCCGTCCTCTTGGGGGACGCGCAGGTCCCCACCAACCCTCGCGAGGCCCCATAGCCAAGGAGCACCGAGACCCAGGCATCCGGGCCCCACAGCGAGGCACAGGCCACTTCCTCCGATGTTCCTTCAAGGGACATTGGCTAGCTACCAGCTTAAGGGGCCAAGCCGTGGTGGTGGGTCAGGTCTACTGAGGTGCCGACACCCCATCACAACACAGCGTTCAGGGCCACCCCACGTGCTCCTGCACCCAGCGTCACCCTGCTCCGGCACGGAGACCTGGGTGGGCTTCAGCCTGGACCACCAACAGAGGGTCTCAGAACCGGGCCCCGACAAGGAACTTCTGGGGAGCTCCACCTGCAGCCATGCGCCCGCACTGTCAGCCCTGCCACACCTCAGGCCCCAGAGACAATCCACCCTGCTCACTAGGCAGTCAGACCCAAGGGTGACCCCAGCCACCGGTGGCCAGTGAGCTGACCAACTCATCCTGTGGACGTGGGCCATGCCGAGCCCATCTGGCAGCAGGAAGCCTGCGCCACCTCAGGGGAAACCAGTTCCCCCACTGTCCCCAGCAGCTGCACACTCAGTGACAAACCCACACACGGCCAGCAGAAGCTTGGCCTTAACACAGAGAAGGCTCCAGAACCAGGCTTGTCCTTCCAGTCACTGAGAAGTCAGGACAGTGATTCACAGCTCCACCCAAGGCCAGAGCCAGGGACTCCTGACCATGCCGACTGGGCTGCATACACAACGCCCGCACGTCCAGCAGTGGCCAGTGGCAGCCTTGGACCCCCCTCGGAGGTGGGCAGTACTGGCCTTGACCCAGAGGGGGACACACTGGCCTCACCCCCCGGAGAGGGACATGCCAGCCTCGTCTCTGCCGAGGTGGACATGTTGGCCTCATCGCCGCCCCCTCAGGAGGTGGGCAGTGCCGGCCTTGACTTTGGAGGGAGACACACTGGCCTCGTGCTCCCAGGAGGTTGGGCAGAGCTGGCCTTGACCGTGGAGGGGCACATGCCAGCCTCATCTCCCCGAGAGGTGAACATGCCGGCTCCTCCCTCCAAGAGATGGGCAGTGCCGGGCTCATTACCCCCACGAGGTGGACATGCCAGCCTCTTGCCCCCGAGGGATGGGCAGTGCCGACCTCGTCCCTCCAGAGGGTGGACATGCCAGTCCCCTCCACTGGGGGTGGACATGGCGGCCTCATTCCCATCACGCTGGGGGACATGCGGCCTCGTCCCCCCAGGTGGATATGCAGCCTTGTCCCACCAGGAGGTAAACAAGCGGCCTCGTCCACCCGGGGGGACATGCGGCCTCATCCCTCACAAGAGGTGGACATGTGGCCTCGCCCCCTCCAGGAGATGCACATGCCAGCCTCAGTCCCCCCAGGTGGACGTGCTGGTCCCCTCCCCCCAGGTGGACATGCGGCCTCGCCCCCCCAGGTGGACATGCGGCCTGGTCCCCCCCAGGTGGACATGCGGCCTGGTCCCCCCAGGTGGACATGCGGCCTCGCCCCCAGGTGGACATGCAGCCTCGCCCCCAGGTGGACATGCGGCCTGGTCCCCCCAGGTGGACATGCGGCCTCGCCCCCAGGTGGACATGCGGCCTGGTCCCCCCCAGGTGGACATGCGGCCTGGTCCCCCCAGGTGGACATACGGCCTGGTCCCCCCAGGTGGACATGCGGCCTGGTCCCCCCAGGTGGACATGCGGCCTGGTCCCCCCAGGTGGACATGCGGCCTCGCCCCCAGGTGGACATGCGGCCTGGTCCCCCCAGGTGGACATGCGGCCTGGTCCCCCCAGGTGGACATGCGGCCTGGTCCCCCCAGGTGGACATGCGGCCTCGCCCCCAGGTGGACATGCGGCCTGGTCCCCCCAGGTGGACATGCGGCCTGGTCCCCCCAGGTGGACATGCGGCCTCGCCCCCAGGTGGACATGCCGACCCCCTCCCCCGGCCCCAGGCCGCGCGGCCTCCCCGGGCAGGACCCGCGGACCCCGGCAAGCTGGACGCGACCCCCGCTCCGGGTGAAGTGCCCCCAGCGCCCCTGGAGCCGCGCGGCCCGGGCCCGGCCGGCGTACCTGAAGAAGAGCGTCCGGTACATCTGGTGCGCCTCGTAGTAGTCGCCCTTCTCGACGCTGGCGCGCAGCTTGCCCTCCACGCGCTGGACGCCGCCGCGGTTGCGCGCGCCGTTGCGGGCGCCGTCCTGCTCGGCCATCGCCGCCGCCATGGGCCGGCGCTCCGCGGGGCTGACGCTTCGCAGGCTCGGCCCTCCCGGCTTCCGTCCGCGCCACGCCCTCCGCGCCGCACGCAGCGCACGTGACCGGCCGGCCCACGTGACCGCGGGGCCCACGTGACGCCGGCGCCCCCGGCACTATGGCGCGGCCGTGACGGGAGAGGCCTGGGCGTGGGGAGCGCGGACGGGGAGGGAGGACCGAGCCGGGAGACCTGCTGACCAGGAGGAGCGGGGAGGGAGAGGGCCCGGCGGGAGGGACGGGGAGACCCCGGCCGGGGGGCAGCACCCACCGCGGCGACCCCCGCGCCTGCTGCCCGGACCCTCGGGATTCCACCTGCAGACTGGAAGCCCAGGGCGAGACATGATTTGGGGCCGTGGCTGCCCAGGAGTGGCCGATCTCGCCCCACGGCCCGCCCTTGGGCACGGGCGCCCAGCTCCGGCCAGGCCCTGCGGCCATCCGGGGAGTGCAGCCAGAGGGGACAGGCATCTCTCCCTCTGTTGCTTAACAAAGTAAAAGGCGAGCTGGGTGGGACATGGTGGAGCTGGCAGAGGTCCCCATACTGCTACTCCCAGGGTGCTGGACTAGTCCAGCTGACCAGGTCCACCCGGACAGGACCGCCATGGACAGGTCCGCCTCGGCATGTCTGCCTGACCAGGTCCACCCGGACAGGACCGCCTCGGCATGTCTGCCTGACCAGGTCCACCTGGACAGGACCGCCCTGGACAGGTCCGCCTCGGCATGTCTGCCTGACCAGGTCCACCCGGACAGGACCGCCCTGGACAGGACCACCTCGGCATGTCTGCCTGACCAGGTCCACCCGGACAGGTCCGCCTCGGCATGTCTGCCTGACCAGGTCCACCCGGACAGGACCGCCCTGGACAGGTCCGCCTGCAGGTAGATTAGCCCTGGGACTCCCCCCACCCCGTTCCTGGTACAGAAACAGAGAAATGGAGGAAAGAAAACGGTTTATTGTTCATCTGAAATATCACATGCACTGTTAAAAATTAAAACTCTTTATTAGAACATTTCGGTCATCTTGTCAATTTGGTGTCAGCAAAAGCAGCATTACCAAAGATGCATTTTGAAAAGCATTTACAAAAATACATTGCACAAACTGCTATCTTTAAAAATAAATATTCAAAATATTTCCACCCCAACTCCCAAATTTAGTTTAATATAGGAAATTCTGATGTCTATATGCAAGCTGTAATCTGTATGGAACGTGTACACGTTTTATCAGCTTCACTGCATAGGTGAGTTCTGTGGCCTTGTGCTGTGCGACACGACTCAGAACCTCCGCACCATCAGTTTGTGTGAAAACACATTTGCGGCACATCAAGAGTTCTCAGGCGACACACCTGTGGTCCCAAGGGCCTGGCACCACCTGGATTATAAAGTCAGCTCTGTGAAATTGTCTAAATATTAAATATCAAGAGTAACCAGAAAGGGACCCAGTAGCAGCAGGAAGAACAGATGACAGCTGCAGCAAAGGGCCAAGCCTACCGAGGGCCAGGCAGCGAGGGCCCTGAGGTCCAGCAGCTGTGAGCCTGCCCGCCAGGACCCACAGCCGCCTCGGGCAGGACACCCTGGGGTTTGCTGGGAACAGCCCAAGGTGGTGGGGTTGGGGTCCACTTGATGTCAGCAGAGTCCCGCGTGGGTCCCTCAGAAGGGGGGTCAGACCCAGGAGGAAGTATGCCCATCCCTCCCAGATGTGGGCCCTGTAGTGTGCTGGACGTCTCTGCCACGCCCTGCACATGGGTCCAGAAGGTGCTACGCAGGCGGGCTGCGGTCAGACCATGGCACCCACACAGGTGTCCGGTCACGTTTATTGGCCATGCCTCCATCCTGAAGGGTTCCAGTGTTTCTGGCTCTTAGTATATACAGAAATACACACAGCAGTGCCAGGCTTCACTCGGCGGGATCCCCGTGGACTCGGAACCGGTAGAGGCACGTGTACTCGGGGTGGCCCCAGTTGGACAGGATCCGCAGCTCCACCATCTGGAAAGCTTTGTCGGGCCTCGGCTGAGAGCAAGGCAGAACACGCTTACAGCTCGCAAGGGCAGCAGGCCCCCACCGGGTCCTTGCCCGCGCAGTGGCCCCCAGGGGAGCTCCACCGGCCTTACCAGGACACGGAACATCTGCAGTGAGTCACCATCCTGGTCGTAGGTGAACTGTCCCAGCAACTGCCCTTCCTCTTGGTACTCGCTTTCCAGACCCTGAAACCAAAACCACACAGTCACTAACCCACTGAGGGCTGACCTAGGGCGTCTGCTGTGCCCAGCCAGCAGGGTGCAGCCTCATTAACAACCCATGGCGACAGGCCGGCAGGCAGCAGAGGGCAGGCCATGTGCCCTCGGCTGTGCTCAGACAATGGGAACTATGAGCCGGGGTTGAGGGGGAGGTGCAGGCAGATGCAGTGTGCCCCCTAAATGCCACTGGTGGACATCATGGCCAGTTTAATCACAATAAAAGAACAAGAACCCAGGAACATACTGGCCATCCTAAGACCACAGGAGACACTGGGTAGCAGGCATGTGTAGCCCTGAGATGGAGAAGGGCAGACGGGACTATCCAACTAAGACATGGGTGAGGGTACAGCTGGCCTGGGGAGGTGTTGGTGGCCAAAGCTGCCCCAGAGCTCTTTCTGAAGGGAAAGAGACCAGAGGTGGTAGGGCACGGAGGGCAACTCCTCAGGACCTGAGTGCGCCTCCCCAATCCCGATGTGCCTTGTCCTCTGTGCCCTGGCTGCTTGAGCCCACAGGGGCCGCAACACCGTCAGGCATGTCCCGCCTGCGTGCACGACACACAGGGTGCCTCAGGATGGTGGTGGCTCTGTGCTAACCCTAACCCAGACTGGCACTGCTGGTGGGTGCCAGGGGAGGGCCGTCTTCTCTGGGGGCTGTACTCACATAGACTGCGAAGTCCTTGGGGGCGCTGGCGATGTTGCCGGTGGGCGCCAGAGCCTTGGGGATGTGCTCCAGTGTGAACGTGGTTGGCCAGATGGGCATGGACAGCCTCACCACCAGGTAGCCCTGGGAGCCCTTGAATGCCCAGCAGTTTCCCGGATAAATGTCAGGCTAGGGGGAGAAGAACCAACAGGTCCTTAGCCACTTACACAGGCTCTAAGAGAAAACGCTAACATGAAATACAAGCATTGTCCATAGTCCCAACTGTCCCAAGCCAAATCACAGGACAACGGCAAGTCGGATAAGGAGAGAAACATCTTCTGTCCACTGATTTCACTCCCCAAGTAGCCACAACAGCTGGAACTGAACCACTCCAAAGCCAGGAACCAGGAGCTTCTTCCACTCCCATGTGGGTGCAGGGACCAAAGGCTTTGAGCCATCCTCTACTGCTTTCCCAGATCACAAGCAGGGAGCTGGATGGGAAGTGGAATGGCCAGGAAACAAACTGATGCCCGTATGGGATGCCAGTGAATGCAAGGTGAGGACTTTGCCACGAGGTTACCATGCAAAGCCCCGGGGAAAGTCATTTTCAGCTTGCGTCCTGAGCGCTCCTCACTAACACCCAAGCCAGTTTTGTGAGTTACCAGGACCTTAAAGACAAGCGGGAAGGACACACATTCGAAGGAGAACTTGGTCGAGCACTCTGGCAGACACCCCAGATCTCTCGTGGGTGCCAGCTCATGTCCCAACCCAGCCCCCCGCTGACGTGTCGGACAAAGCTCCACAGGATGGCCCAGGTACTCGGGGCCCTGCTGCCCACACGGGAGACCCAGCTGAAGCTCCTGGCTCCTGCCTTTGGCCCAGTGCAACTGTGGCTGTTGTGGTCATTTGGGGAGTGAACTAGCTGATGAAAGATTTGTTTCTCGGCCTCGGCATGATGGCTCAGTGGCTAAATCCTTGCCTTGCAAGTGTCGGCATCCCATATGGGTGCAGTTAGTGTCCTGGCTGCTCTGCTTCCCCTCCTGCTCCCTGCTATGGCTGGGAAAGCAGCAGAGGACAAGCTCAGGCCTCGGGACCCTGCACCCACATAGGAGACCTGGAAGAGCTCTGGCTTCAGATCGGCTCAGCTCCAACTGTTGTGGCCACTTGAGGAGTGAGCCAGCAGATGGAAGATCTTTCTGTCTGTCTCTCCATAAAATCTGCCTTTCCAATATAAACAAATACATCTTTTTTTTTTTAAGATTTATTTTTTTTATTATTTTTTCATTGGAAAAGGCGGATATACAGAGAGAAGAGACAGAGAGGAAGATCTTCCGTCCGATGATTCACTCCCCAAGTGAGCGTAACGGGCCGATACTATGCCGATCCGAAGCCAGGAGACTCTTGGCGGGTCTCCCACGCAGGTGCAGGTTCCCAAAGCTTTGGGCCGTCCTCGACTGCTTTCCCAGGCCACAGGCAGGGAGCCGGAAGGGAAGCGGGGCTGCCGGGATTAGAACCGGCGCCCATATGGGATCCCGGGGGTGCAAGGCAAGGACCTTTAACCACTTGCGCCACCGCGCCGGGCCCCAAATACATCTTTTTTAAAAAAAGTTTTCCCATCTTTCTAACTCTGCCTTTCAAATGAAATAAACCTCAAAAATACATAAATAAATAAATAAATAAATAACATGGGAATGCCACTGGTCCTCAAGGGAAACAGCCAGTGTGTGGTACAGCTGCCTGCAAAGCTGGCATCCCCAGACTACCACCGAGGAACCCACAGTCCAAAATTCTAACCATCTGCCCCGCTCGGTGCTAACTGCTGTGTTCCTGCTTCTCTTGCTCTGCTAAGAAATTGTGTGACTCCAGGCCTGACAATTTAGGGGACATTTGCCCAGGCACCCTGATGGGACCATCCTGCCTATTTGACATTTGTCCCATCAACCACACAAAGCCTCCACCCACCTTTTGAACTAATCATTAGTGTAAGATCCCATACCCTCTGATTGGCTGATTTTTGTATAAAAACCCTAAAGTTTGGAGGCTCGGGGTCTTTCCACTTCTTCGGAGACCTGGGCATGCTCGAATAAACATTGCTGTCCGCATCTGACTCCTGGGGATTCTTTGGGGAAGCTCAGAGGCAGCAGTGGCACCGGCAGTGGTGACCATGACTGCGTGGACGGCACCGACCAAGGGGGCAGCAGCGGTGGAGGCGGTGGTGACCGAAGCGGCAGCAGTGACCACAGCGGTGACCGTGACCACGTGGACAGCACCGACCAAGGGGGCAGCAGCAGTGGAGGCGGCGGTGACCGAAGCGGCAGCAGCAGCAGTGACCATGACCACAGTGGTGGAGGCTTGCTACTGCTCTAAGCTGTGACGACCACAGGTCGTCTGGCTGTAGAGCTGCAACGCCGACCCCGAGACCTCGAGACGCCTGCAGAGCTGTACGTGGACCGGACCGGCTGCCAACTAGTGGCCACTGAGCTGTGACAATGTCCGAGGTTGCAACCAATTGTGACCTGAAGAGCTGAGACCCCGACCCCTCCTTCGCCCGCTTGCCCGCCTGCGGTTTCCACTGTCCAGGGGACTGCGGACCTGTCCGCTGCCTTGGAGCCGGTTCCGGCACAACACCGCCCCACTCTGAGCCAGCTCCCTCTTACAGGCCCAGCACATAAGGGAAATGTAGGCCCTGGTGCCCGTGTGGGAGAGCCCAGTGGAGTGCCAGATTACTGACTGGTCCAGCCCAGCCACAGCTGTTACGGCTACATGCAGAGGGAACCAGCGGATGGGAGATTCTCCCTCTAACTCTGCCTTTCAAATTAAATCAAATCGAGAAAATATGAAAAACACAAAGCAGGTGTGAGACCATGAGACCTGTGGCAACTGACGGGTGGGCAGTGCCAGTGGACAGATCGTGGGATCTGATGGAAAGCCTGACAGTGCAGGACATTGTGACCCAGAAGGGCACTGAGCCCAGGCCAACAACGGATACGATATCCATCGTAGGAGAACAGCTGAGTGAACACCTTTATATAACTGACTGGACAGCCTCTGCGTGAGAACACCTGAATGGGTGCCATTCGTATAACTGAATGAGAACAGCTGAGTGGACAGCACGTAAATGAGAACACTTGGGGGGATATACAAGAGTTCCAAACCAGAGTATAGAAACATTGATGGGTTCCGTACATAAACTCAGTACCTGCTCCTTCATCCGGTGTGACCTTCGGTCTATAAAAGTCTGATGCCACTAACAAACTGCGGCTATTGACCACCAGCTGGTAGTCCACGCGTGTTATTAGCACGTTAATCTCAGGCTCTGCTGCAGGACGGCGGACAGGGCAGCACGCGAGGCTCCCACACTGTTCTCAGGAGCAGTCCACTGCACTGTGAACACTTCCAGACCCGGCACAGCCTGACTTGTTGCGGGCACTGAGCCACAGCCATGCCCCTGGCCTTGAATGTGGTAGGGAGGCACCTTCAGGTGCTGGCCCAGGTTGGTGCTGGGGAGGTGGCCCCCTCCCACCACCCCACACTCCTCAGCAGCTCTGTGCATCCCTGGGGAGCCGAGGGCCTGAGCCCCCCGCCTCAGGTGCAAGTCCTGTGTGACGCGCTGTGCCTGAGCAGCATGCTCTGGCTGCCAACACACTCGTGGCACATCTGCTCAGGGCATTGCACACAATGCCATGGCCTCTGGGGCCGTGTCAGGGCACTGGAGGCCAGCCTGCTGGACACAGGCGCCTCGGTGAGTCTGCATGGCGCAGGCGGCCGTGGGAAAGCCAGCCAGAGGTGCGGCTCACAGCACAGCAGGGACAACAGGGGCACGACGCATGAGGGACACGTTCTATCACCCCAGGGACTGCCTGCAACCAGAGGACAGTGAAAGCTCTGTGCAAGCTGTGTCACACGCGTGTGAATTCACACATCAACATTTTCCCAATTTGATCTCTGCAGGAAACCCTAAAACACCCATGGTACCAACTTCATCAGATGCAAAGAACACAGACTAAGGAGGGAGGGTCCTGGGCCCTCCTCCGCAAAGCCTGAGCATATTACAGGGTTCTTGAGAAGCAGCTCTGGCCCAACAAAGCACTCACCAGGAACCCGGCTGCCCCATCACCAGTGACCGCCCAGCACCAACACATTCCAGGCACAACGGTGGTGGTGCATGTCCAGAAAGCCTGCTCTGGAATGTTCCACCTGACTGCAGGCACCAGAACTCTGGAGATCTTCTGTTCCTGGCTCACTCTCAGCTCCTCACTCTGCTGCTGCAAACATGTCCAGCTGCAGGGGTCTGGATTCCCCACGGCCCACTCAGGCTCTCAGGCCTCCCTCGGGAGAGCCTGACCACGACACCCTGGACCAAGCTGGTCATTATGGGCATTTGAAGTGAACCAGTGACACAAAATAATTCTCTGCCTTTCAAATAAAGTAATTAAAAAATAAACCTACGGGTCTGGGAGTGCCGAAATCCCACGTGGCACTGGTCTGAGAGCTGGCCGTACCAGTTCTGATCCAGTTCCTTGCTGATGGGCTGGGAAAGCAGCGGATGATGGCGCAAGCGCCTGGGGCCCTGTCACCCACATGAAGCTGCTGGCTTTGTGTGGCCATCTGGGAGGTGAACCGGCAGATGGAAGATCTCGAGCCCTCTCTCTCCCCCTCCATTTGTAACTCTTTCAAATCAGCCTTTAAGAACGGCCAACACTGATCCCAGCACAGCCTTGGAGGACGGAGAGCGGAGTGCGTGCGGCTGAGGGCAGCTGGGGACAGAGGGTGGCCATCTGGTCGCAGGGTGCAAGGCTCCCTGTGCGGAACACCCCAGGGGGCCAGGGGCCCAATGGTGCTGGGCACACGGCTGTGTCCAGCGTCCCTTTATGCGGTGCAAGCACACCTTACCTGGATGACTACGCGGGGCGACTGCGAGAAGTACCACAGTGGGATCCCGAAGAGGCTGATGAGCGCTGTCTTGGTCTCGTAGGTCTCGGAGCAGCGGGTGCTCAGGACGCTGCCGCCTGGGGGCAGACACATGTCTGGGTCAGAGCCACACGACGACCCACCTTGAGGATTTACACAGAGTGGCTTCAAATGGACTCCAGCCCACCCACCCACCCCGCACAAAACTCCCCTCTCAGGCACTGGTTCCACAGCATACAGCGTGCAGACAACCCCACCCGAGCAAGACCAGCAGCTCGCAGAGCCGGCCTCTCCTCCCCGACCACAGGCTGGTGGCTCTCAACAGACTCCTGTCTCTTCAGCCAGCCAAGTCCAGCGGTCATCCGACAGACCAACTTCAGACCACCCCAACCAGCCCCAGGATACTGGCTGCTGCAAGGGCACAGCAAGCCACTCTCCTGCACACTTCCCAGCACGGAGGCCCATGTCATGAGACCTTCATCTTAGCCAGACAAAAAGCATCGAACAGGGCACAGCCAGGGTCAGGGCAGGCTCCCCACGCACGAGGCCACAGCAACGAGAGCCCCTGTGCACATGCACACAGAGCAGTCTCCCAGGCAGCCACACCTGGCGTCCGGCCCTGAGAGGAGCTCACCCTTATTCTCACAGTGACAAGCTGACTCCCCTGACCCGGCCCAGGCTGTGCAGCACAGGTGCCCTCGGATGCCTCTGAGGCACACAGCTGCTGTGTAATACGCTGTGGTTCACAGTGCATCAGCAGCATGCTTACCGCTCTCAGAACAGTCCCTGCCTTCCCCTCCAGCTCTGTCAGGATGGGCCTGGACCAGTGGTACCTCATGTGTCTTCAATCACCAAGATAAGCTGAATCCACACCACTGCTGGCCACAGGTCCCACCTGACACACTCATGTGCACGCACAGCTACACACCATGGCATGGACCTCCTCAGACCCGACAGACGACAACTCTTAAGTTCACTTCTTCAAGGAACCAAAGTAGCATGCATTCCCCTCCATGGGGCCTGCCCTGCAGCCTGCCCACCACAGGCACTCAGTGACTGGCTGGGAGCCACTGCACTGCAGGCCAGGCCCTGGACGTGAGCTGTGAGCACCGCTAGCCTCCCCAGGAAAAGGCCCCTGAGGGACACACTCACCCCCGGATTCCAGAGCGAAGTCCACCAGTCCAGTCTTGTCCTGGGAATACAACTTCAGAGCGTTGTTCACGATGGCCTGAGCTCGCTGTACAGACAGAAGGAAGGAGGACCAGGAGCCCGGTATGTCAGCACAGTGTGGCGCTATGACACTGCAGCCCCCATGCCAGACAGCCACAGGCACCAGCTGGGCACGTACACCCCACCCAGAGTGAATGCCACAGCCAGCAGCAGAAGGGACACGTTGGAGGTCAAGGTGTCTGCAGACAGGCCCAGCACAACCACACGCTCTGCCATCCCAAAGGTATCGGTCATGACCATGACATCAGCTCAAAGACACAAACAGTCCATCCTCCCTTGGGTCATCTGTTGGAAGGCCCTTCTGCACACCCGACCCTCTCCACAGGCCTTCCCGCAGACATGACCATCTCCACAGGCCCTCCCGCAGACATGACCTTCCACAGGCCCTCCCGCAGACATGACCATCTCCACAGGCCCTCCCGCAGACATGACCTTCCACAGGCCCTCCCGCACACCCGACCCTCTCCACAGGCCCTCCCGCAGACATGACCATCTCCACAGGCCCTCCCGCAGACATGACCTTCCACAGGCCCTCCCGCAGACATGACCTTCCACAGGCCCTCCCGCAGACATGACCTTCCACAGGCCCTCCCGCAGACATGACCTTCCACAGGCCCTCCCGCAGACATGACCTTCCACAGGCCCTCCCGCAGACATGACCTTCCACAGGCCCTCCCGCACACCCGACCCTCTCCACAGGCCCTCCCGCAGACATGACCTTCCACAGGCCCTCCTGCACACCCGACCATCTCCACAGACCCTCCCGCAGACATGACCTTCCACAGGCCCTCCCGCACACCCGACCATCTCCACAGGCCCTCCCGCAGACATGACCTTCCACAGGCCCTCCCGCACACCCGACCCTCTCCACAGGCCCTCCCGCAGACATGACCTTCCACAGGCCCTCCCGCAGACATGACCATCTCCACAGGCCCTCCCGCAGACATGACCTTCCACAGGCCCTCCCGCAGACATGACCATCTCCACAGGCCCTCCCGCAGACATGACCATCTCCACAGGCCCTCCCGCAGACATGACCTTCCACAGGCCCTCCCGCAGACATGACCATCTCCACAGGCCCTCCCGCAGACATGACCTTCCACAGGCCCTCCCGCAGACATGACCATCTCCACAGGCCCTCCCGCAGACATGACCTTCCACAGGCCCTCCCGCAGACATGACCATCTCCACAGGCCCTCCCGCAGACATGACCTTCCACAGGCCCTCCCGCAGACATGACCATCTCCACAGGCCCTCCCGCAGACATGACCTTCCACAGGCCCTCCCGCAGACATGACCATCTCCACAGGCCCTCCCGCAGACATGACCCTCTCCACAGGCCCTCCCGCACACCCGACCCTCTCCACAGGCCCTCCTGCACACCCGACCCTCCCCTGGGTCATCTCAGCAGGTTCCAGCTCAGCTCTTGGCCTGCTCCCAGGGCCAGGCACTGCCCCCGCTGTGGCCCCTGCATGCACCTCCCTCACTCACCGCCTCTGTGATGCCAGTGAGCCCCGCCTCAGCCACGGCGGCCAGCACGGCCTCGGAGGTCGGTGCCTGCTTGGTCACGGCCATGTGCTGAGTGACGTTGGTGAGTATGCGCAGCTCCAGCACCTGCAGTGCCGCCTGCAAGTCCTCCTTGCTCACAAACCGCGCAGCCAAGCTCTGCAGCAGCTGCTCTAGCGCCTCGTCCTGCTGCTCTTCAGCAAACAGCAGCCTGACACTTTCTCTGACCTGGGCCTGTACCTGCGCCGTCAGGGAAAGACACGTCAGCTCACCCCTGCCCAGCACACTCTCCCCTGGCAAGCACACACTTTGTCCTCTTCAGCCAAGAGCCCAGCGCTGGGCATGCAGACGAGGGCAGGAAGGGGAGCCCACGACATGGGCAGCACAGTCTGTCTCCCTGGCCAGCCCTGCACCCCACTCGTTAGGTAGAGAGAAGAGCCCTTTATCCTAGAGACTTGGCTGGTAGCAAGCAGCTGCTTCAGGGGGCTGCATGACACTTGGCCAAGCCACTGCCTGCAACACTTACAGCCCACCCTCAAGTGCCAGTTCTGTGCCAGCTCCTGCTAATATACCCAGGGAGGTGGGTCCCTGCCACCCTGTGGGAAACCCGGACGGAGTTCCTGGCTCCCAGTTTTGGCCTAGCCCAGACACGGCAATATGGCCACTTGAGGGATGGAACAGCAAGTCAGAAACCTTTCTCTGCAACTGTGTCTTATTTATTTTAGAGGAAGAGCCACAGCTAGCGCCAAAGCCAGGGTGGAAGGTCAAGGACTAGAGACAGACAGGGAGAGGGAGGCAGAGAGAATGCCTACCTGTTGGTTCATTCTCTCAACTGCCATGCCAGCCAGGGCTGGTCCAGGCTCCTGATTTCAGCCTGGGTCCCCCACATGGGTGCAGGGACTCCCACACTCGGCACCTGCACTAACTGGGATCTGCACAGGAAGTGGAGCAGCGGAGACTTCAACTGGGATGGTCTCTAGCACGGCCTGACCTGACCTACCACAGGGCCGGCCTCGCAGATCTTCGGTCACACGTGTGCCACGTGCTTTTCCACGCAGTCTGCATATCTGAGCCAGCTCTCGCCATCCTGAGGAACTCCCTCCGTAGTCAGCACCCCACGACAATGCCCAAACCACAATCCCACACTTGGCTCTTGCGCAGGCTGTCTGTAACTGCTCATGACCCACGGCTTTCCCCAGGGTCACAGCCCAGCCGGCAGTGCAGTTGGGGCTGGGAATGGCTCTGGGCTGACGCTGTACAGGCCACGGAGCCACCAGGAGCCTGAGCCCTACTTTCCTGTCACCTCCAGCCTGTGGCCACTCCAATAGCAGTCTTTCTTTACCAGTGGGCAGTTCTGTATCTTCCCCCACCCCGTCAAGGATGGAAGCAGCTGAGGCAGGGCCTGTGGTGGGCAAGCTGCTGGGTCTAGCCGCGTCTGTTCTGGTGGCAATGATGGGCCCTGCCGAGGTACCACAGCCTCTGCACATGCAGCCCTGTGGAATGTCTGCTGTGACTTCACGGCACAAACAGGTAGGGCCTGGGTTCACCTACCTTCTCCTGCAGGGCGTCTCCCTCCAGACAGCCGCTCTGTGAATCTGGCCAGTCTGACATACGTGCTCTCAAGCTGCTCAGCTCCAGCTCCAGGTGCTTCACGCTAGCCAGCAGGTGCTGCTGCTCCTCACTCCCGCTGCATGCACATGGGAGTGAGGGACAAGGCAAAAGCCTGGCTGAGTCCACAGGGACACCCATGGTGGCTCACTACGGCCGTACAACGCGGTGAGATGCTGAGCTGCACCCATTTCCCTCACGGTCAGGCTCCAAGATGAGACAATCTTCAGCTACCATCATCAGAGACGAGCCCACTCATGAGGCTCCGTTGTCTGAACGAACGTGTAGCACAGGCACCGACTGCACACGGCCTGTCTCACACTCCTGGGGAAGCCTTTAGGGCTGCCTGGGCGCTGTGTTCAACACAGCTGGGGCGGGGACCTGCCTTCTCGTCCTTCCAGGACTATCGGCACCTTTGTCACGCCACATGCAGGCCCTACACAACCATCACCCTAAGAAGGAGCCTGCGCACGCCAGACTCAAGTCCTGCCTGTGGCTCTGGCAGGGCTGCTCTGCAGGCTGCCAGCCGAGCCAGAGGCTCTGCATGCACAGCAGCGTGCAGACTCACAGGCTGTTCACAGGGATGCAGTGGGCACGTGGGGCCTGCAGAGGTGGGAAAGCACAGGGTTGCAGAGGCCGGCACAGCAAGGGAAGGGTCAGGGTTAGGGTTTGAGATGGAGTTGCAGAGGCACCAGGGCAAAGGCAGCACTGCCCTCTAGGGACCCGGGCAACAGACAGCTCAGGAGACAACCGGAGGGGCCCCAGCCCAGGGTCTACTTCTGGCCAGCAGCACGAGCAAGGCGGCAGAGTGCCCTGTGAGGGCAGCTCAGTCAGTGCTTTGAGAGCCGCTGAGCAGGGAGGCCCCGGCCCAGAGCGGGCTGCGGTCAGCTCGGGGACTGGGCAGCATTGGCCACAGGCACCTCATGGTAAGGAGGCGTGATCAGTAGCTTGGGAGCCCCCGCCTGCCAGGGTCCTCCCGGAGTGGTCCCCCACAAGGCCAGATCCCCAAGTGAGCACCCAGGTGAGAGCAGGGGTGTGTGTCGACACTGCTTGCCATCCGAAGCCGCCCTACCTTGCTGCTGCGAGCTTTGCCTCCTGCAGCTCCTTCTGGAAGGCCTGAGGGAATGTGGAGACAAGAGAGTTGACCTGACCACACATGATGACAGCCCCGACTGGCCTCCACCTTTCTGTGCCCAGCCTTCTCCTGTGCCTCCACGCACGTCGGCCTATGGCCTGGAGCAGGGCACTGGTTTTATCTTTCAGAAGGCCAGCCCAGGACAGACACATCGCACTGACAGGCTGCACTGGACGTGAGAGGGCCAGCCTGAGGAGGCAGAGACATCTGCACTGACAGGCACCACCCCAAGCGCATGCAGAAGGAACTAGGTGGGTACCAGCCCCTCCCCACAGTCAGGAAGACAGAGCTGCCCGTGCCCCCTTTCCCTTCCTGCTCAGCAGTCAAGCCACCATGGAGCCAGCTCCATCCCTGGTTTTCCCACATCCCCTTCTCTGCAGCTCAGGTGCTTGCCCTAACACCTGCTCAGGGGAATGTGCACGTAACAGCTCCAGGCCATCTGCTCTCCCTCTGAAGGGATCCGCGACCCCATGCAGCTGGGTGGCCTTGGCATGCCTACTGTGACCGGACTGGACCAGGAGACCCCCAGGACAAATGGGGGCAGTCAGGTATTCGTGTTAACAGCAACAAGGTCCAACTGTCTGAGAAAAAGGCCTGGTCTGACAGGACCCGTCCTTACCTTGGCTCGCTCTGCCAGTTCCCCAAGGATCCCTTCCAAGGCAGAGAGGCGCACTTCATGTTCACGATGCAAAGTCATAAAGTCGGCCTTGGGAAGCAAGCACAGGGAGATGGTCAAAGCACAGCAGAGCCTGACCTGCCGCACGAACTGATGTCGGGCACAGGGAGGGCCATGATGTCACATCTGAGGGCCTTGGGCTTGAGGCCAGCAGCCTGTGGGAGGCAGGGGTGGCGTCTGCGTGCCTGTGAGGCCTGTGCTAAGCTGCTGCAGGCACCCGGGGACTCTGCTCATCTCTATGGCAGGGACCCAGCAGCCCTGGAGGAGGCATTGTGAACCCCAACCCTATGCTCAGGCAGCTTCCGGCTGCACAGTCCCCCTGACCACCCTGTGCTCGGGCAGCTTCCGGCTGCACAGTCCCCCTGACCACCCTGTGCTCGGGCAGCTTCCGGCTGCACAGTCCCCCTGATCACCCTGTGCTCAGAGCAGCTTCCGGCTGCACAGTCCCCCTGACCACCCTGTGCTCGGGCAGCTTCCGGCTGCACAGTCCCCCTGACCACCCTGTGCTCAGAGCAGCTTCCGGCTGCACAGTCCCCCTGACCACCCTGTGCTCGGGCAGCTTCCGGCTGCACAGTCCCCCTGACCACCCTGTGCTCAGAGCAGCTTCCGGCTGCACAGTCCCCCTGACCACCCTGTGCTCAGAGCAGCTCCATCCAGGAGTGCTGCGGGCAAGGCAGCTCGATTGCCCCCACCACGGATGGAGCCACGGAGGCCTCCCTGCCTCAGCCCGAGCCCATGACAAGCGCGCAGTTAGGGCAGTTCCCAAGGCCATAGCCCCTCCCATGATCCAGAGAGCTTATGTGGGGACAGCCTCCACATGGGTGGCTGACAGGGGTTTGTCTCCACCCACTTCTTCAGTTTCCAGGGAGAATCACGTCCAACTACTGGACATGCTTCCTGGCGAGCCCAAAGGGACCACTGCTGATTACACAGCTGCACATACACACACACACACACAACTACAGCACCCGGGGCAGTGCTGGACCTGCTGGAGGACCCCACACCAAACAACTCAGACCCCACAAGAAGGGAGACAGGCAGCCACATGTTGGGTGCTACCTAGTACTTGGGGTTGGGATGGCTGGACTGAGTCGCTGGCCCCTGGGCACTTAGGGAAATCGACCAGTGGATGGGAGTGTGTGAGCCTGTGCTCTCTGCCTCAACAATGAATAATTACACATGTAAATAACAAGACAACTGAGAACAGGCAGGCCAGAGCAGCACTACACTGAGCCATGAACTCTGCCAGGGCAGCAGAGGCGCCATGGCTGCTCACAGCACCGTCCCACATGGCGGCCACCAGGTATGTGTGGCCATCAAGCCTGGCACTATGGCTGGTGCACCCGAAAAACCCACTGCACAGCCATCTTTCCCGGCCAGTGCCCAGGGTCTGCTCAGCCTGCATCCAGATCAGCATGCCTGCTGCCATGAGCCACACCAGTCCTAGAGCCCCACTGCACAAGTGCAGACTGCAGAGCATCCAGCCACAGAACACAACACGGCAGCTCTCGCCTGTCTTTGTGAGACACGGTCATCCACACCATCATGGAGCCCTGAGACTGACGGCATCTCGGCTCTCAGGGACCTGAAATCAGGACTCGAGGAGCCGGGCCCTGCCCTCCAGGCACACGGCATCTTCACCACCAGGTGACAGGCCTGCAGTGGCAGCAGTGTGTGCGTGAGGAAGCATGACAGAGACAGACGGAGGGAGAGACGAGATCCTTGAGCTGGCCTAGGCTGAAGCCAGGGGCCAGAATTCCACTCGGGTCTCCCAGACGGGCAGCAGGGGCCGAAGTACTCGGAACACCTCCAGCTGTCTGTCCAGGCACATCAGCAGAGTTGGATAAAAGTGGAGCAACAAGGATGCTGGCACCATAGCTGGCACCCTCTCTCTGGAAACACTCTGCCAGACCGGCTGACAAGAGCTGCAGGACACAGCAATGAGAGGCTCAGAGAACCTCGGACCGCACCTTAGTGCCCGGCAGCCTGGCAGCGTCCACCTCCTGCAGCTGCTGCCCGATGAGATCCTTGACCCACGAGGACAGCCCTGCTCGGCCCTCGTCCACCTGGTCCAGCCGTGCATGCAGTTTGTGCAGCTCAAGGGTGAGTTCCTGGAGCTGCTTGTCATGCGTGTGGCACCGGCCAGTCAGAGCCGTCACCTGCTGGTCCATGCTGCTCCTCCAGCGCCACGGAAACGCTGTGTCCCCTGCCTGCAACAGGAAGACACAGGCAGAGTCCACCAGAGGGGCTTGGTGAGGCACTGCGCTATCGGGGTGCCTGGCTTCCTGCCGACGCGCACCCAACCTGACCCCAATCTGGGAGACCAAGGCTTGAGTCCAGCCTAGGCGGAACTGTTGCTCATTTATGAAATTAACCAGCCAATGGAAACTGCTCTATGTCTGTCAATTAAAACAAAACAGAAACCAAAGCCTGGGGCGGTGCCAGCATTCCCTAAGGGTGCTGGTTCGAATTCCAACTGCTTCACTTCCAATCCAGCTCCCTACTTATGGCCTAGGACCCTGCACCCACATGGGAGACCCAGAAGAAGCTCCCGGCTCTAGGGTCCTGGCTTCAGACCAGCCCACTCCTGGCTGACGTGGTCATTTGGGGAATGAATCAGCAGATGGAAGATCTCTGTCTCTCCTCTCTCTGTAAATCTGCCTTCCAAATAAAACCAAATCTTAAGGGACAAAAATCTATTGAAGATAAACCACCACATGGTATAGCAGCAAGATGCCAACTGCCGGGTCCACAGCTTAACTCTCAGCGAGTACCCTGACCCGATGTGGCTGGGGTGGCTTTAATTTTCCTCTGTAGACACATCAACATATTTTTTTGGATACAAACTGCCCTTGGCTACTGCTAAGGCAGCTTGCACCTTGCAGAATGACAGCTTCTGATCTGTTCTGGGTTAGCAAGCAGAGACATTGAGAGCCCTGGAACCCGCTCCCTTGGGTCTTGAGTGGTGGGTGGGGAACACACAGACCTCACCTGGACAGGAGGGTTGAGGGGAGCAGCGCCAGGTCCCAGCCCGTCCCCAGGGTGCTCAGCCTTCGGCGATCTGTGCAGGTCTGGCCAGTTGAACGCAGGCAGGGGAGAGAGGAAACCACCCTGACCCCACCAGGTGACTCCGGCTCCTGGGAGGAGAGAGACCACTGCACATGGCACCCCTCAACGCACACCCAGGGGCCGAGGCGACTGGGCTGAGCCTTACTCACCAAGCAAGAGCAGCAGTGGAAGGAGCAGGATGAGAAACCTGCAGAGATGTCGGAGGCACCTGGGGATGTGGGGGGAGCCTGTAACTGGGAAGGCGGGCAGCAGGGCTCACCCCGACTCCTCCTGGTGACCCCAACACCCATCAGAGCCACAGCTGCTTGCACCTACAGTAGGCCTGTGGCAGAGACGCATGGGGACCAGTGAGTGAGTCACTGGGTAATACCTACTTCCTGTCTGGCGTGCCAGGCTCTCACACTAGCTTCCTGTTACTGTTCAACCTGGGGGCAGGAGTGAGGCTGAGATGGTCAGCCCACTCGTGTGGACAGTCCAGGGGGGCTTTTGGCACAGGGGTTAGCTGTCACCTCTGCGCTAGCATCCCATATGCACACAGGTGTGCTCCACTACCATCCATCTCCCTGTACTGCACCTGCAAAGACAGCAGGAGACAGCCCCATGTCTGGCCCTGAGCCGTGTGGGAGACCAAACGGAGGCTCCTGGCCCTCAGCTCCGGGCATCACGGTCATCCGGGGAGTAAGCTAACAGACGGAGGCTCCTGGCCCTCAGCTCTGGACAGCATGGTCAGCTGGAGAGCAAACTAACAGAGGATCCATCTGCAACTTCGCCTTTCAAATATTTTTGTTAACTTAATAAAAAAAAAAGTGACCCCCAAAAAAGAAATCCTCCCAGGTGGCGTTAGCCAGCCACCGGCTGACAATCCGGGCTCTGGCCAGCCGGGCGCTCTGGCCAGCCGGGGGCTGACAATCCGGGCTCTGGTCAGCCAGGCGCTCTGGCCAGCCGGGGGCTGACAATCCGGGCTCTGGTCAGCCGGGCGCTCTGGCCAGCCAGGGGCTGACAATCCGGGCTCTGGTCAGCCAGGCGCTCTGGCCAGCCGGGGGCTGACAACCTGGGCTCTGGTCAGCCGGGCGCTCTGGCCAGCCAGGGGCTGACAATCCGGGCTCTGGTCAGCCAGGCGCTCTGGCCAGCCGGGGGCTCTGGCCAGCCGGGGGCTCTGGCCAGCCGGGGGCTGCGAGCGCCCATCCTGCGCTCCTGCACACCACCCCTTCTGTGTACATCCACTCTTTCTCTGTTTACACGATTTATTCATTTGAAAGTCAGAGTTACAGAGAGATCCGCCTGCCAGTTCATTCTGCATGTGCCCATAATGGCTGGAGCTGTGTCCGTTCCCCACGTGGACACAGGCTTCTCCCAGGCCGTAAGCAGAGGCTGGAAGTGCAGTCTGAGGCTCAGCCTATTCTGCACAGCACCAGCACACTTCTGCTTCTCTTACTAGTACCTGCTTTTTTTTTTTTTTTAATCTATTTTTTTTAAAAGATTTATTTTATTTTTATTGGAAAGGCGGATATACAGAGAGGAGAGACAGAGAGGAAGATCTTCCGTCCGATGATTCACTCCCCAAGTGAGCGCAACGGCCGATACTATGCCGATCCGAAGCCAGGAGCCTCTTCCGGGTCTCCCACGTGGGTGCAGGGTCCCAAGGCTTTGGGCCGTCCTCGACTGCCTTCCCGGGCCACAGGCAGGGAGCTGGATGGGAAGTGGGGCTGCCAGGATTAGAACCGGCGCCCATATGGGATCCCAGGCGTGCAAGGCGAGGACCTTAACCACTGCGCCACCGCACCGGGCCCACTAGTACCTGCTTTTTAGCACCTTCTTATCCACCTCGGGAACAGCAGGGACAGGCACTGTGGCCTAGCGGCTAAAGTCCTCGCCTCACACATGCCAGAACCCCAAAAGGGCGCCGGTTTAATCCCAGTGGCCCCGCTTCCCATCTAGCTCCCTGCATGTGGCCTGGGAAAGCAGTTCAGCACGGCCCAAAGCCTTGGGATCCTGCACCCACATGGGAGACCCGGAGGAGGCTTCTGACTCCTGGCTTCAGATTGGTACAGCACCAGCTTCTGTGGCCACTTGGGGAGGGAATCATTGGACAGAAAATCTTTCTCTCTGTCTGTCCTTCTGTTTGTATATCTGACTTCCAACAAAAATTAAAATAAACCTTAAAACAAAAAAAGACTGGGAACATCAAAGTGCTTCACAACGCACGGCATTACACAGGACTAGGTCAAGATGAGATCATGTAAAGCAACACGCACAGGCTGCACTGTGGCTCAGTGGGTTAAACTGCAGCCTGCAGCGTGTCCTAGTCAGGCTGGCTCCCTGCTCACGGCCGGGAGACCCAGATGGAATCCAGGCTCCTGGCTTGTCTGCAGCCTAAGGCAGGGACCCAACAGAGGCAACACCCCTCTATCTCTTCTTCCCTCCCTCTCTCCTTATAACTCTTCAATAAACAAACTCTAAAACAAACAAAACAATAAGCCAGACAAGCGCCTGGTCCAACACCCCGGGACAGGGGATCAGGGTTCTTACCTTGTTAGAAGAAACACATTCAGCCATGAGACCAGAGTCACAAACTGATACCATCCAATCCCCAGCCACCAGAACATTCCAGATGCTGCTCTCCCTGCAAAGAGGAAATGTGCTCACACTCACACACTCACACACAGTCACAGCAGGCACTCTGTAAGCGTGTTAGGATGAGAATTGGCACGTGTGCACACTCACACACTCACACACAGTCACAGCAGGCACTCTGTAAGCGTGTTAGGATGAGGAGAATTGGCACGTGTGCACACTCACACACTCACACACACACAGTCACAGCAGGCACTCTGTAAGCGTGTTAGGATGAGGAGAATTGGCACGTGTGCACACTCTCACACACACACAGTCACAGCAGGCACTCTGTAAGCATGTTAGGATGAGGAGAATTGGCACGTGTGCACACTCACACACTCACACACAGTCACAGCAGGCACTCTGTAAGCGTGTTAGGATGAGGAGAATTGGCACGTGTGCACACTCACACACTCACACACACACAGTCACAGCAGGCACTCTGTAAGCGTGTTAGGATGAGAATTGGCACGTGTGCACACTCTCACACACTCACACAGTCACAGCAGGCACTCTGTAAGCGTGTTAGGATGAGGAGTACACAATGGCGGGATTGGTGTGTACACACACACAGACCATGTATATACAGGGTCGAGGTGCAGGAGATGAACCCCCACTCTCAGTTACACAGAAGCAGCACGCACACGCACCCCAACCACAGTCGGCTGGCAGGAAAAGGACCCACCACCACAGAAAAGGGACATGGGTTTCATTTTCATGCAGTTCGAGACATCACGTACTGCAGGACTACACGGCACAAAGCTCTGGAAAGAAGCAAACGGAGGAATCTGAAATAACCACCTGGAGTCGCCGCAGCCAGCCAAAGAATGGACCACAGCGTCCTGGACACGTGGCACCCGGCAGCCCAGACCCTCCGCAGTGTCTGCACCAGGAAGTGACCTGCAGCATAGGAGATGTGCTGGCCTCAGACGTGAGACACGAGACACCTCCCCACCCCATGCCTCCACCAGCGCTTCTCACAGAGCGACTCCTTCACGCCTCAGGAAAGCCTGCTGGGCTCACCTCCCTGCGTGGGCAGCTGCTCCAGTGTGAGGCCGGCCTAAAGCCCACGGGGTGGGGGGGTGATAGCTACCAGAACGTACACTGGACAAGTCAGCATTCGAGGGCAGCCGGAGAGGCATGGACAGCAGTGTCCACACGCCAGCTCCAGAAGAGAACTGCTCTAACAAGGGATGCTCTCTGGTCGACAGGGCTCCAACAGTGCGCCCACCCCACTGGACGACACAACACAGTGAGCTCAGCAGCAACGTCACACATCGCTCAGCGGAAATGGCTCCATACACAAATCTGGACACATTTCTTCCAGTCACTGTAACATTTGTACATTGGCCCCAGAACCACTAAATAATCTTAATGAGGTTGTAAGGCAACGGCATACATAGACCAAGAGGATTTTAAAAAAATCATTCATTTATGTTATTAACACTTAAAATAGCTGAGCTTTTAAAGAACAGCTGCCAAAAAAGGGGTCCCTTTTACCAGAAAGTTACAGGGGTTAAGCAGGGTAACGTGGTGAGACAGGGCCTCATGCTGTGCACGCGGGCAGGGCCACTGGCCTCTGCTGCCCTCTGCACGTGTCCACACACTCAGTCACTACGCAAGCTGGCAAGGACGCGCTAAGACACAAGCTCGGTGTTTGAAACGACAGCCCGCACCCCGCCTGCTCTCAGCGGATTACTGCGAACACATGCCCAACAAGGAACGACACGGGGGAGGGAGCGACGGCGACAACCTGCACGGGCACCGAGGTGCCCCATGGTCCCTGCCAGCCTGTGTGGCCTGGAGGACTGCGAGTGGGTGGCTGTGTGTGTCTCAAGGTGCCGCTTCCTCTTACAGTCATCGCCTGCGGGTGTGGTGACAAGCAGTGAAGTCACAGATTAATACATAACAGTGCACAACATCTCAGTTCAAACACCAAGGCCAATGGCACACAGGGGTCAGAGCGGGGGGCGCTGATTCTCGGTCTCAGTGCTCGACACACCAGACAGGGACCCCCTTCACACACTCAGAGAAGCCATACTTACACATAGACTCGCCACGGCCCCCGAGGCGGCCATCGACTCTGAGACACTCTGTCACATTCACGCTCCCACAGCAACCGGCATGAGCTGCAACACACACGAGAGAGGCTTAGCGTGGTCCCCGCAGGCCATGCAGCCACCGGGACACGGCCCACTTCAAACACTGCCAAACCACATGGGTCCAGGCATCGTTCAAATAAATCAGTTTTGAGTTACAGAGGCCTAACAAGGAAAATGGAAAGTTGAGCATAATGAACTGACAGTTCACAGTGAAGCTGCAGCAGGGGCCAAATTCAGGAAGCGGAGCTGCAGAGAACACGCGGCCCTCCCCAAGCTCCCAGGACACGCAGGGGCAGGCAGGCAGCCCCGAGAGGCGGCAAGGCGACAGGAGCGAGAAGCACAGGGCTTTCGCCACCTTGGAAGCAGTATTCATTGAAAAAAAGGAGGAAAGAAAATTAAAATACCTTTTGATTCATAGCTTTTTGACTTAAAGCTTTCTGATTCACCATCTTTTGATTCGTAACTTTTCAATTTGAAATTGTCAGATTCATAATTGAGCTTCAGTAAAACCACTTGGAAAAGCTGAACTAAGAGTGTTGACAGAGACGACATCGCACACGTGGCCAGCCCCAAGAGCCTGTCCGCATAGAGACACGCACCGCCTAGGGACACACGTGGGCACGCGTCATTCCTCCCCCGAGCCTGCGACCCTCCCTGGGGCTCACCTCAGGTGCAGCACCCAAGCAGCCCCAAAACAAGCACCCAGGACGCCTCAGAAGCAGCGGCGGTCCGGAGAGCCCAGGGTGCTGCCAGTGCAGCTTCCACCTACGCCACAGCTCAGCCACTGCTGGTGCCAGACCCCCACGCCAACCCTGAGACCCACAACCGCAGCATGGCCCACAGCACCCACCAAGTTCGGGACACCCGCCACCTGACACTGCTGCACCCACCCTCACTCCGTGGGCACATTCTCTGTGAACCTAAACACAGCCACGAGCACCCTTCCAGCAGCTGCCAAAAGTCCCCGTGCCTGAAGCGGAGCAGCCAGGGTCAGTCTCCCTGGGCTTCCCACCCTGCCCCAGCCAGAGAGCCGGTCAGCCTGGGACAGGCAGTGGGCAAAACCCAGGTCCCGGGACCCGTGTGGGCAACACTGCAGAGTAAACTGTGTGCAGACTGCGACAAAACACAATGTCATGAAGAGGCAATGCAGCAGCTGGCCCAGGGAGCAGGTTAACCTGCTCCCTTCAGCACCGGCATCCAACACGCAGGCAGTTCAAGTCCCGGCTGCTGCACTTGGGAAAGCAACAGCAGATAATCCAAGTCCCTGGCTCCTGCACCTCCCTACCCTTCACAACCTGGGTGACGTCCCTGGCTCCTGCACCTCCCCTCCCTACACACACCCTGGGAGACCTGGTGACGTCCCTGGCCCCTGCACCTCCCCTCCCTACACACACCCTGGGAGACCTGGGTGACGTCCCTGGCTCCTGTACCTCCCCTCCCTACACACACCCTGGGAGACCTGGGTGACGTCCCTGGCCCCTGTCTGGGCCTGACCCAGCCCTACACACACATCCTAGGAGGAGACTGGGTGACGTCCCTGGCCCCTGTCCGGGCCTGACCCAGCCCTCTGGATCAAAGGTTTGGCTTTTGATTACCAGCCATTAGATCAAAGATTTTTCTCTTCCTTTCCCTGTTACTCTGCATTCCAATTAAATTAATAAATCTTGAACCACCACCATGCAGTGGTAACTCACGGCAGTCTGATGGGTAATTTCCTTTCTCACCACCAGGCTGGCAAGAATCAGAAAAAGCCACATTAAGATCTTCCAGAGGGTGGGCACGATGGCTGAATCCTCACCTTGTACGCACTGGGATCCCATATGAACCGCAGTTCATGTCCTGGCTGCTCCACTTCCCATCCGGCTCCCTGCCGGTGGCCTGGGAAAGCAGAGCAGGACGGCCCAAAGCCTTGGGATCCTGCACCCACATGGGAGACCTGGAAGAGGCTCTTGGCCCGTGGCTTTAGATTGGCTCAGTTCTGCCCAAGATAGCCAACTTGGGGAGTGAACCAGCGATGGAAGATCTTCCTCTCTTGTCTCTCCTCCTCTCTGTATATCTGACTTTGCAATAAAAATAAATCTTTTAAAAAAAAAGAAAAAGAAAGCGTTGGAGCTGGCGCCATGTTACAGCAGGTTAATCCTCTGCCCCTTGGCACCAGCATCCCATGTGGGCAACAGTTCGTATCCCATCTGCTCCACTTGCGATCCAGCTCTCTGCTTATGACCGGGGAAAGCAGTGGAGGACAGATCAAGTGCCTGAGGCCCCGGGCCTGACGTGGGCTTTGAACTGGCCTAGCTCTGGCTGTTGTGGCCACTGGGAAGAGAACCAACAGAGGAAAGACCTTCTCTCTGTCTTGCCTTCTCTGTAAAACCTGCCTTTCAAATAATAATGAATCTTAAAAGAAAAGAAAGGATTTGTGTGCACTAGCAGACAAACGTGCAAAGACCAGCTCTCGGGTGGACAAAGGAAGCCCCGGTGTTCATCCTGAAACCGCAAATGTAACCATGTAACCTGTCCCTCAAACACAGGTGCACAGGGCACCTGGCAGGGCCCCGCACCCCCTGGACACTCCCCATGCCGCCCAACACCAGCAGCTTCTTCAGTGTACACCACAGACTGGACAAGAAGATACAGACAAGCAGCATGTGACGGGCATGCCATTTTCTGCTCCAGCAAACCTGGCCACACACAGCCCGTGCACTCTAACCCCCAGCACACAGCAGGCCAGCAGCGGCAGCCCCTGCCTCCTCCTGCCTGCCATCACAGGAAGCCACACTCTATGGGGAGTGAGCTGGCACTGGTTCTCTACACAGCGGTGTGACAGCCATGAGGACTGGTTCTCCATACAGCAGGATGCCTCTTTCTGCTCACACACAGCTTACACCAGCCCAACACAACTTGGCCTCATGGACCACACTGGGCGCCGAGCCCCACGAGCCTGGGACACAGGGTAGCTTGTTATGGCAAGCAGCAAGAAATTGCACAGACCACCGCAGGTGCACCCTGAGCGCCCTCAGCAGTGGGCTCCTGAGGGACTCAGTGCTGCTGCTGCGGTCCAGCACATTAAGCTGTCACCTGCAAAGCCAGCATTTCATATGGGTGCCTGTTCCAGTTTAGGCTGCTCTACTTCCTGCTAATGACCTGGCAAAAGCAGTGGTACCCACATGGGAGACCCAGAAACCCCTGGCTCCAATGTGGCCCAGCCCCAGCCACTCTCGCCATTGGAGGGAGTGCAACAGGATGCCAAGACCACTCACTCTCTTGTTCTCTAATTCTGCCATTCAGATAAATAAAATGAATCTTTAAAGTGTTGGACCCACACTAACAGTGCAGGTCACCTAAGCGCCAGCAGGGGGCACCCGGCTCTGCAGCATCAAGGGTGCAAGGCCCACACCCACTACACCTGCTGGTTCACTTGCAACCAGCAAACGCTGCGTGGCTGTCTTGATCCCTCATCCCTCCTCTCCCCTCAGGAAGGACACCCCCATGGCATTCTGATCCTGCATCCCTCCTCTTCCCTCAGGAAGGACACCGCCATGGCGTTCTGATCCTGCATCCCTCCTCTTCCCTCAGGAAGGACACCGCCATGGCGTTCTGATCCCTCATCCCTCCTCTCCCCTCAGGAAGGACACCGCCATGGCGTTCTGATCCCTCATCCCTCCTCTCCCCTCATGGAGAACAGCCCCATGGCATTCTGATCCCTCATCCCTCCTCTCCCCTTACAACAGTACCATAGCAAGGCCCAGCAAGGTAGCCAGTGGCTAAAGTCCTCACCTTACACGTCCAGGATCCCATACAGGAGCCAGTTCTAATCCCAACCACCCTGCTTCCCATCCAGTTACCTGCCTGTGGCCTAGGAAAGCAGTCAAGGAAGGTCCACCCTATACCCGTATGGGAGATCCAGAAGAAGCTCCTGGTTCCTGGCTTAAGACTGGCTCAGCTCCAGCTGTTGCAACCGCTTGCGGAGTGAATGATCGGACGTAAGATCTTCCTTTCTGTCTTTCCTCCCCTCTGTATATCTGCCTTTCCCATAAAGGTAAAAAAAAATCTCTAAAATAAATAAATAAATAAAGACCTGAAAATAGAAAGCTAGGACTTGCTTCTTGGTCCTGGGTCACTCTCCACTGTTCCACCCCCCAGGCACACCAACCGTACTCCCCAGGCTATTAAGGGCCCAGCTCAGACTCCAGGCTGCTCCCCGAGACCAGTCAGAAGGGTGAGGGGTCTGTGGCCTCGGCTAGTACCCGCACAGCCTTCCCTTAGCCCCTCAGCGCCAACATCTGTAGTCAGGCTTTCAAGGCCACTGGGAGGGTCCCTGCAAGAGCTGATGACCCAGAAAAACTAGGGCCCCAAAGAGCCCCCTAGATCCGAGGATCATCTGAAGTGCTCCCATCACTGCTCCCTGCTGAGCACCTTGGCACCCTCTGTAGTCCCGCCATGTAACCAGGAATGTGCAAGCATCCCCCACAGGCAGGGTGCTGCCACCAGTGCCCTCTGCAAGTGCCAGCACCTTGCCAGCACTGCCAAGCCACCCTGAGGGTAACCAGATCCCACACAGCTCTCAAGTGTCTGCACGGTTTTATGTACAAGAACGTTCTTTTGCTCCTTAATTAAACACAAGTTTATACAACTTCAAACATTGCTCAGCACAGAAACACTATGTAAGTGTGACGTGGAAAGGAGACAATGGGACAAGGCTGTTTTCCCCTCGGCTGAGGACAGTGCACACTTACGCTTCTGCATCCTGTCACGGGAATAGACCCTGGAGGCCAGCGTGTAGGCCGTGGGCTGCGCGGTCAGGGTGTCCCTGCGCTCAGACAGCAGGCGGCAGCTGCTGCAGGTGTACCCGTTGTGCCCAGTGGCTTCGGCAGCCTCCACTGCCAGGGCTCCGTTTTCCTGAACAACGGCTTTGCCTGCACCTACGTTGTCAGAAAGTAGACCCAATCTTTATCACACTCGACAGCGTGCAGCTGGAACTTGTGAAATGTGTGAGGAAGAAAAGCCCAAGGCAATTACCTTTAGTGTCACCATCATCGTCGAGACCTGCGAGAGAAACCACAGTTCTGCTGCCAAGCTTGGTAACAGAGGCGGTACAGGCCGAGGGGGCCACGGTGTGCCCAGCTGCAGGCACACCCGAGGGTCATGCAGAGAGGACTGCCTCCTCACAGCCTGCCCGCTGTGGGCAGGGAAACAGTCTCACAGGCTGAGCAACAGAGCAGCCTGTAAAGTGACCAGGGCCTTCCGCCTGCCAAGGGCGGCCAGAGGCTTGCCTCCTCAGCCAGCTGGACCCTGTGCACAGCCCAGGGCATGGCCATGGCCTTGGGGCAGGGAGTGCACCCCTCCCTCGTGACTCAGGATAGAAAGGGTCTTCTGGAACACACAGCAGGACTGCATGCTGCCTCCAAGAAGGCATGCACCCAGCAGCAGCAGCGTCCCGTCCCAGCACTACACCATCCATACTCCACATGGGCACAGCTGGCCACGGCTGGCCAGGGCAGAAAGGAAGCAGCCTTCAAGTGCCTGTAGAGAAGCCTCAGGGCCCCTAGCACCCAGGCAGTAGCCACCCTCCTCCCCACACCAAGGCGCATGGGCCCTGCACACCTCCCAGGCACTCACCCCAGAAGTGGGTCACCTCTGTCTGCTCACGGATCAAGGACTCATCCAGCACGCATGGCTGCAGGGCCGCAGCAGCCTGCACACTGCGAGAGCCGCCCTGGCTGCCTGCAGCTCTCCGGGACACGGGGCTCACACTGGGAGCAGCTTTGCCTGCACTTCTGCGCTGTCTTAGTGTTCTGCAAAGGAGAGAAGGAGCAAGGTCTCAGAATTCCCAGCACAGAGCTCTGAAAACACACACAGAATTTTAAGGCCAGCCATTTTCTAGTGCATTTCTGCTGCCATGAACCAATGCAAGAGTTTTATGCTGGGATTTAGAGACTCCTTCTAAAGCCACAAACACAAAATAACGCAGGCTTCTGCTGATTCTGAGCAAAGACATACAACAGACCACAAGTAAAAATGACCAAAACAAAAGGCTTGCATCCATATATGGACGTGCCCACAACTCACTTCTGCCCCCGGCGAAGCCATGCAGCCAGACATGTGGCGCAAGTGGAGACCTAGGGTCCTGTCTGCACAACAGCCCAAACAAGCCTGGGCAGGAGTGCAGGGGTAACACCGGGGCCCACACCAGTTCAAAACCTGGCTACCCCTTTTCTGATCCAGCTCCCTGGTAATGACCTGGGAAAGCAGTGGAATACAGCCCATGTGCCTGGGACCCTGCACCTACATGACAGACCCAGAGGAAGTTCACGCCTTCCAACAGGCCCAGTCCCAGCCAATGCAGCCATAGCGGAATGGAAGGAATCTCTCTCCTGACTTCTCTTTAACTCTGCCCTTCAAATAAGACCAAAAAAAAAAAAAAAAAAAGCATTTTATAACTGAGCAAACTGAGCATCAAGTTAGGGAGTAGAAAAACAGACTCAGCCCCTGCTCGAGCATCTGGGAGTGGCAAGGGGTGCAGTGACACACATGGCAGGGCCAGGTCACCAGGCAGTGCTGGCCCTGGGCTTCTGCGGGGCAGGAAGAGCCCTGACAGCCCAGGAATGTCATCCTACTCGTCAAAAATCTATTTGTGTTGGAAAGGCAGATTAACAGAGAAAAAGGGCCCAGCGCAATGGTGTAGTGGTTAAGGTCCTCGCCTTGCACGCCCAAGATCCCATATGGGTGCAGCTTCTAATCCCAGCAGCCCCGCTTCCCTTCCAGCTCCCTGCCTGTGGCCCAGGAAAGCAGCCGAGGACAGCCCAAAGCTTTGGGACCCTGCACCCGCGTGGGAGGCACAGAAGAGGCTCCTGGCTTGGATCGGCATAGCATCGGCCATTGCGCTCACTTGGGGAGTGAATCATTGGACGGAAGATCTTCCTCTCTGTCTCTCCTCTCTGTATATCCGCCTTTCCAATACAAATAAAATAAATCTTTAAAAAAAAAAAAAAAAACACAGAGAAAAGGACAAAGATCTTCCATTTCCTGGAACACTCCCCACAGGGCCACAAAAGCCAGGAGTGAGCCCATTTGAAGCCAGGAGCCCCCTCTTGTCTCCCATGTGAGTGAAGGGGCCCAAGGACTTGGGCCATCCTCTGCTTCTTTCTTACGCTGTAACTATGAAGCTGGATTGGAAATCGGCAGCCAGGACTTGAACAAACACTGCAGGCAGAGAATTAGCCTGGTTTGCCACTGCAGCACCCCCAGAAACATTTTCAAATGTTAAACTACCTCAATTTTTTTTTAAAGATTTATTTATTTTTTTTTTTATTGGAAAGGCGGATATACAGAGAGGAGAGACAGAGAGGAAGATCTTCCGTCCGATGATTCACTCCCCAAGTGAGCGCAACGGCCGATGCTATGCCGATCCGAAGCCAGGAGCCTCTTCCGGGTCTCCCACGCGGGTGCAGGGTGCCAAAGCTTTGGGCCGTCCTCGACTGCCTTCCCGGGCCACAAGCAGGGAGCTGGAAGGGAAGCGGGGCTGCTGGGATAGAACCGGCGCCCATATGGGATCCCGGGCGTGCAAGGCGAGAACCTTAACCACTTGCGCCACCGCGCCGGGCCCAAAACTACCTCAATTTTTGCTGCTTCTTGATACAGATGGCCAAGCCATCGAAAGATCTCACCCACCACACTGGTAACCATGTGAGCCTTCGGTGCAGGTTGTCGGCCTGTGACTGTGGGTGGACCTGTATGTGTGACTGCGGGTTGACCTGTATGTGTGACTGTGGGTGGACCTGTGTCACTGCAGGTGGACCTGTATGTGTGACTGTGGGTGGACCTGTATGTGTGACTGTGGGTGGACCTGTATGTGTGACTGTGGGTGGACCTGTATGTGTGACTGTGGGTGGACCTGTATGTGTGACTGTGGTTGGACCTGTGTCACTGCAGGTGGACCTGCGTGAGTGCACACAGTCTGGAATTCATGGTTTTACATCAGTTTCGCCATAGGAAGGCAGAGCTGGGCAGGGCTTACCTTGGTACTCCATCCTGGGAGGGGTGCGTATCTCCTGCCTTACTGTCCCCTGTGGAGTAGCTCGTCCTGACCAGGCGCAAACTGCGGCGGGACATCCTAGGGGAATCAAACACGGGATCCAACCGGTGCTGTGTTTCGAAGTCCAGAGCATCAGAAGAATAGCTCGAGCTGTAAGGACACAGCTGTCAGAGGGCAGCAGCGCTCCCGGCTCCCCACATCCCCACGTCCAGCTTGCAGGGAAGCCACTGCTGTGGACAATATCTGGAAGGAGGCGAGTGACCCTGTCCTGCCTGCCCCACTACACCTGCTCCAGCTGTCCCTGTCCCCCACTCAGAACTGCTTCAGGACACGAAGTCCATGAAGACCCCCAGGAACGTTAGGCAGGAGCTGGAAGGGGTGAGAGATGTCCATTGACCAGGTCACTACCCAGAGGGTCATAGCAGCCAGTGTGCCACAGGGTGACCCAAGCCCTCCCTCCCAGGGAGTCATCAACAGGGGCAGAGATGGGCACTGATATGAGATGTGGGCACCATAGGCGGCACCTGTGGCACAGTGCCAGCCCTACACAGGTACTGCTCTTGGCTCATCTTTGTGCCATTCCAGTCTAGGCACTGCCCTTGAGAGCAGCTGCTACAGCAAAAGATGGCCGCGGTCAGAGAGGGCCACCACGCCCTGCTAAGTGACACACTCGGGGCCCTCCTCTTCCTGCTCACCTATGAAGCCTTCAGCCATGCAGAAGCACAGAGCCTCACCACGAGGCTCCGAGGCCCACGCTGCCTCACTGCCCTAGCTGGCCAGGCTCACCCTCCCCTCCAGCTCTCGGTAGGGGGTCCCAAAGCCAAACCTGTGCTGGATCCAGCCTCCCTGCCTGCCAGCCATCTGCCCTCCACCTGGGGACACCTGGTTCTGCCTCAGGGCCTGTTCCAGTATTCCAGGGCCCAGTCTGGCTACAGCTCCAGGCCATGTGCTGACTCAGTCCTTCTGGAGGACCCAACGCTCCAGGCCGTGCCCCTGGCGGGAAGGCGGCACACTCACTCCTTCCTCCTGGAAGGCCCCACCCCTCTGTCCAGCACAATCTTCTGAACCAAGCTCCACAGCCATACCTCTGGCTCCCACCGCCCTAAAACAGTCCAGACTCCAAGACAGCCAGCATAACCCCAGCCGGGGGCCTCTGCCCTGCCCTCTCCCAGGTCTCACTGGCCTGCCCTGGGCCAGCTGGAAGTGTTGCTAAGGCAGCCTCGGCAGGCTGGAGGATGAGAACATGACTGCGGGGCCAGAACTGCTCCAGCCTTCTGAAGCAACCAGGGGCCTGAGAACCACACTGCTTCTACAGCAAGGGCAACACAGCGTCACTTCAAAGACCGTCCAGGCCAGACAGCACAGGTGCTGTGAAGAGGCACTTTGCTAACCAGCAGAGCCAAGATAATCTGTCGCCATTACTCCGCCTTATATTCCCTTAGAATTCATCCTATCCTCCTGAGCTTGCATTCCCACCCCACCTGCTAGAGCCCCGCCCCCTCAGCCACACCACACCTGCCAGAGCCCCGCCCCCTCAGCCACACCACACCTGCTAGAGCCCCGCCCCCTCAGCCACACCACACCTGCTAGAGCCCCACCCCCTCAGCCACACCACACCTGCTAGAGCCCCGCCCCCTCAGCCACACCACACCTGCTAGAGCCCCGCCCCCTCAGCCACACCACACCTGCTAGAGCCCCGCCCCCTCAGCCACACCACACCTGCTAGAGCCCCACCCCCTCAGCCACACCACACCTGCTAGAGCCCCGCCCCCTCAGCCACACCACACCTGCTAGAGCCCCGCCCCCTCAGCCACACCACACCTGCTAGAGCCCCGTCCCCTCAGCCACACACCCAGGAACCTTCAACACCTCTCTGGCCTAGCTACCAAACTCCAGCCAATGAAGTGATACCAACCCAGAAGTTACCTAACTCCTGTTCCTGGGTTTTAAAAAAGACCCTTAGACTTACTTGTTCCTTTTAAAGCGTAACACAGACTGCCTACTCAGTGACTCACAACAGTGGGATCTGGACCAGGCCCGAGGCAGAACAGCGGGAAGCCACCACCACCAGCCTCTGACACATGCTGGGTCACCGGCAGAGGCAGCAGGCCCTGGCACCTCACTATGGCCATGGCTCTGTGTCCCAGGCAGCTCAACTACAGGCCAGCAGGGCAGGTCAGCAATTACTAGGACTCAAACCTTACAGGCTGAACGCAACCAGGTCCTGGGCAGCTGAGGGCACTGGGAGCCCCACCAGCACGCTGCCGCAGGAGACCGCTGGACACAGAACTGTGGGAGCCCCACCAGCACGCTGCCGCAGGAGACCGCTGGACACAGAACTGTGGGAGCCCCACCAGCACGCTGCCGCAGGAGGCCGCTGGACACAGAACTCTCCAGGCTGTGGATACCGATCAGCACACTCCTGTAGGCGATCCCACGCCTGGGAGGGCTCTGAGACTGTCTTGATGACTCACCGAATTACAGGGAAAACCCGGGGAAGCACAGAGCTTTCCCAATGCCCCTCAACTCCTCGTGAGTCCTAGAGCCGCGGCCCCCCGACTCACCTGAGCGCGTAGGTGTAGCCCGTGTTGTCCGGCACACACTGCGGAGGGCTGTAGAGGTGCAGCCGGGAGAAGTCCATGTCTCGCCTCAGCTCATGCTGCAGGTGGAGAGGGAACAGGCCTTCAGGGACCTCAGTAGCACGCTTATCACCAGGACCATAAACAGGCAGAGCGGCACCTGCCGAGGATGCGGAAGCCGGCCTGGAACCCTTCCCAGGAGTGCTACGTGCAGGAGTCCCTCAAGGAGGCGCTGACTGATGGCCAGAACAGGACCCGGCCCAGGAGCCACCCTCTGCTCCCTCCCCAGGGACGCAGATCAGCTCCAACACCAAAGTGCCGGCCTTGTTTCTCTGGTTATCATCGAGACGTCTGTGGACCTGGAATGATTCGTTAAGAATATTCACGCACACACCCCAAATTAAAGGAACAAAGTCCTCACAGTAGTAATATGCATCATAACCTGTTGTTCAAACTCTACGAGATAAGACTAAAAATAAAGAGCGCCTTGGGCAACAGTATTTATGGACACAAAACTGGGCTCTGTTGCAAACCACAAAGCCCGAGTCCCATCACCTGGAAACAGGCCAAACACCTACTGAAGTCAAGGACTGACTACAGATCACATAGGAAACTTGACTGCTCCACACACTCCACAAAGCCCCTGGGTTTGGGATAACATTCTACAACACTCTCGGTCTGTCCTGAGTCCCTGGTGCTCCAGTCAGCCAGAGCTCATTCACCAGGCATAAGCTGCCACTTTGCAAACAAAATCAGCTACGGCTGTTTAACCCACGTAATGTTTAACCCCTGTGTAACTGCCCTGACCTGTCCCATCTGCTCAACTCAACCCTTAAATCTGGACTGGGACACCCAAGGCCCAATGGCGTGCTTGCCAACACACTCGAACGTCTCCAGCTCCGAGTCCAGCCGGCTCACACTGCCACTATGGGACGTCTCCAGCTCCGAGTCAGGCCAGCTCACACTGCCACTATGGAATGCAGTCGTACTGTGGCTGTGTCATAATGCCTGCTGGCCACACTCCAGTTTAGGAAGCACTCCCAGGCATGTGGATGCCAGGCTGAACGCCACCGCTAACGCCCGTGACCCTCTCATCTCACACGCTTTGCTCCAAAGGTATCCTCCCTCCCTGGGTCAGTACACCCTGGCACTGCTAACACACTCGGGGAGCGAGTGCAGCTCACAGGAGCTGTGTGCACTGCTAGCACACTCAGAGTCCAGGACCAAGTGCAGCCGAGAAAGGCCATCCCCGGCCCCACCTTCAGGTGCGGGGCCATCTGGGGAGTGATCCAGCAGGCACCACTTCTCTTGATCTCTAACTCGGTTCTCCCAATACGCACACACACCTTTTTTTAAGAAGATGTTTGTTTCTACTTGAAAGGCAGATTGAGAGAGGAAACAGTCTGCCATCTGCTGGTTCACTACCCAAGTGGCCCCAGTGGCCGGAGCTGAGCTGATTTGAATCTGGTGCCAGGAGCTTCTTCCGGCTTTCCCAAGTGGGTGCAGGGTCCCAAGGTATGGGCTATCCTAGACTGCTTTCCCAGGCTACTGGCAGGGAGCTGGATGGGAAGCAGGGCAGCCGGCACCAACCTATGCCTCCATGGAATGCCAGTGCTTGTAGGGTGAATGCCTGTGGAGACAGTGTTGACCTCCAAATACATCTCCTTTTTTTGTTAAAATAAAATTAGGTGTTAGGGTGGGCACTTGGCCTGGCAGCTAAACTGCTGAGGGTCCTGCAGCCCACATCCAGGTGTCTGAGTGCGAGTCCTGGGTCTGTTCCCAACTCCAGGTCCTGCCAAGGTGCACCCTGGGAGGCCCCGAGGAACAGGAGCGTCCCCAGATGCAGTTTCAGCCCCAGGTCCTGCAGGCCCTTGGGAAGACAGCCAGTGCTGAAGTTCTTTATGCTGTCTCTTTCAAATCAAGGAAAATGAGCAAAGCTTCAAAAGAGTCTATGGAAATCAAGGGTCCTGTGTCCTCGGGTCCTTTCTCCCCCTCCTCCCTGTAGACTCAGTAGACCAGAACAGGTGTGCACCTCAGCCTGGGTCCTGCGAAGTCCAGCCCCGTACCCGCTGCAGCCTTGGCAAGGCTCTGAGCTCCCAGGCGAAGCAGGAAGGAGCACCGAATCCCTTCCAGATGCGGTAGACTGCAAGTAGACTCTTCATACTCCACATGTAACATGCATCTTATATAAATTTTAAAACCAAAATATGGACCCAGTCTGATGGGCTACTGTCTAAATCCTTGCCTTGCAAGCGCCAGTACTCCACATGGGCACTAGTTCATGTCCCAGCTGGCCCACTTCCCATCCAGTTCCCTGCCTGTAGCCTGGGAAAGCAGTTGAGGATGGCCCAAAGCCTTGGGACCCTGCACCCACGTGGGAGACCCAGAAGGATCAGCTCAGCTCCAGCTGTTGTGCTCACCTGGGGAGTGAACCACCAGATGGGAGATCTCTGCCTTTCCTCCTCTCTATAAGCCTGATCCGCCTTTAACCAACATCAAGCTGGCAAAGGGCAGCTGTGCTGTGGGATGTGTACCTGCCCTGGGCATCCCTCACACACTGGGGCCTCCATCCGCCTCTTAGTCTGTGGCCTACATCCCAAACCAGAATCCACAACCTGCAGCAATGGAGGTGTTCCTGCCCACTAAATAAAACCCACAACTCCAGTCTGACCACTGAGTGCGATGTCAGATAGGACTCACGCTGTAAATGCATAACAAGGTAGGCCAGCGGCTGCCTCATAAAGCAGCCAGCTCAGCTGTCATTACCCAGCACCTTCTACATGCGTGGGCCCACTGAAGTGTAGGCAGACCCAGCAGGTTCCTCAATTCTAAAACAAAGGGGCTGAGAACTCAAACAGCCGTGACAGAGCAAGACGAGGAAGAAAGCAAACGCGTTCTCAATCACCGAAGCACAAGACCCTCCAAGGCCCCGCTGTGTGGCGGCGTGCCCCTGCCTGCCAGCCCTGACGTACACTGCCGTCCTGAATGCCCCTTGCCAAGCAGCGCTGAGGCCAAGGCTACAGCTGCAAGGCTGCAGGGACTGCCTCGGCATTCAGTGCCACAGAAGTCTCACCGACTGGAAATAGCACAGAGCACCCCAGAGACCCTCTGATCCCCCAAGCTCAGGGCCAGGGACTCCCAGTGGACATGCCGTGCTCAACAAAGTGCCATACACTTCTGAAAAAGGGTCTCCCTGCAAAAGCATAGATATCTATGAGAAAGGCAGAGTAGAACAGGACAACGGAGGACGGGGCCCCTACAGGGCCAAGCAGGAGCAGAAGCGCAGCGCCCCAGCACACAAGCTAACACTGCACACTGCTGCAGGCCCAGGCAGGCAAAGCTGCACAAGTACCTCAGCTGGCCAGAGGGCACCACACTCAACTCTCAGGAAAAACACCCAATGGACCGGGGCTGTGGCACAGCATTTTAAGCCTCCATTGTGGCTAACCTGTCCCATATGGCACCGGTTTGAGTCCAGGCTGTTCCAACCTCGTCAAGCTCCTTGCTTATGGCCTGGGAAAGCAGCAGAGGGTGGCCCAGGTGTCTGGGCTCCTGTGCCCATGTGAGACACCTGGGGGGAGGGAAGAAAAGCCCTCAACACACCAGAGCCTGGAGGGAGAGGCTACAGACGGGAAAGCGAGGCTGTGTACAGCACTGCCCCCCCATCCGTGAGGAGACAGGGCTGGCCAGGCGCTAGTGGCACCCACAGGAAAGGGCGTGGGGTGGAGTTGGCTCCTCTTCCCACCGTACACAGCCCAGGAGCTAACAGGTCCCTGTGGGAGATGTGGAGCTCCTGGCCCAGAGCTGGCTGTTGCAGGCAGGTGGGCAGTACAACGGTGAATGGGAGAGCTCTCCATCTGCCTTCCACATAAACAAACAACAAATAATATGCTTTTATGAAAAGGTAACAGCCTTTCCTAGGGCTAGAGATAGGCAAGGTTCCACTTTGGCCATTGCTTCCAACACTATCCCGGAAGTCAATAGAAAGCTGAGACAGACACACATCAGGAAGGGATCTCAGATGCGTCAGTCCCTGTGAGGGGAGCTCGGACCCTCAGTCAGGAACACCTGAGCCCCGTGATGGGGGGCTAGAACCCTCAGGAACACGTCAGCCCCGTGATGGGGAGCTAGGACCCTCAGTCAGGAACACCTGAGTCCCATGATGGGGAGCTAGAACCCTCAGGAACACATCAGCCCCCGTGATGGGGAGCTAGGACCCTCAGTCAGGAACATGTCAGCCCCCGTGAGGGGAGCTAGGACCCTCAGTCAGGAACACGTCAGCCCACATGAGGGGAAACTGAGACCCTCAGTCAGGAACATCTTAGCCCTGTGATGGGGAGCTAGGACCCTCAGTCAGGAACACCTGAGCCCCGTGATGGGGGGCTAGAACCCTCAGGAACACGTCAGCCCCCGTGATGGGGAGCTAGGACCCTCAGTCAGGAACATGTCAGCCCCCGTGAGGGGAGCTAGGACCCTCAGTCAGGAACACGTTAGCCCACATGAGGGGAAACTGAGACCCTCAGTCAGGAACACCTGAGCCCCGTGATGGGGAGCTAGGACCCTCAGTCAGGAACACCTGAGTCCCATGATGGGGAGCTAGAACCCTCAGGAACACGTCAGCCCACATGAGGGGAAACTGAGACCCTCAGTCAGGAACATCTCAGCCCTGTGATGGGGAGCTAGGACCCTCAGTCAGGAACACGTCAGCCCAAATGAGGGGAAACTGAGACCCTCAGTCAGGAACATCTCAGCCCTGTGATGGGGAGCTAGGACCCTCAGTCAGGAACACCTGAGCCCCGTGATGGGGAGCTAGGACGCTCCCAGGAGCACACACAGTTGAGCTGCCCCAGTGGCCTGCCGCCTGCAGGGAAGCAGCCCCAGGGAAACAGCAGTCACCCTCTGCCGTCAGCAGGGACACCCTAACACCAGACACAGCAGGAGTTCAAGCCAGATCAAAGCCCTAAATGTAGGAATTAAAAACATCAAACTTGGAAAAGTTCAGATGGGTAAACTCTTCAGAGCCTGGATTTGTCCAAGGTAAGGCAGGAGGACACTGCAACACCTGCTGTCACCTGTGCCTCAGGGGATGTGACCCTGAGCCGGGCAGACTGCCAGCACCTGCAGCTCACCTGGCTGATAAGGTCCAGGTGCGTCTGAGAGAGCTGCCTGCAGGGCTCCCGCAGGCAACCAAAGGGCAAGCCCGAGGTCACCCCAACACTCACTCCCCACTTGCCGGGACCCAGGGTGTCTGGAGCCCCAACTCATCACCGACAGGGTAGCCCGCTGCACCCCAAACCCACCTCAGGCAGGAGAGCCCACTGCACCCCAAGCCCACCCCGGGCAAGGGAGCCCGCTGCACCCCAAGCCCACCAGAGCAGGGGAGCCCGCTGAACCCCAAGCTCACCACGGCAAGGGAGCCCACAGCACCCCGAGACCACCCCAGGCAGGGGAGCCCGCTGCACCCGAAGCCCAGCTCGGACAGGGGAGCCCGCTGCACCCCGAGCTCTTCCAGGGCAGGGGAGCCCGCAGCACCCCGAGCCCACCCCGGGCAGGGGAGCCTACTGCAGCACCGCCCGGAGGGCACCAGCCCGGAGGAGCCCAGAAGGCCGAGGCCGAGCGGACACCACGGAGTGTCCAGCGCCCCCGCGTCCTCCCGGAGCGTCCGGCATCCCAGCTCCGGCGCGGCCGGCCAGGGCCGAGGCCCGGGAGCCCCTCATGGCGGCCGCGGCCGTTGGCGTCCTGGGGGTGCCCGCCCGCCGCCCGGCCCCGCCGCCCCCGGAGGAGCGCGGCCCGCACTCCCCCGCCAGCCACCCCGGCGCCCCTCGGCGCCCGCCGCTACTCGGCTGGCCGCCCCGGGCCCGGCGCCCCGTCCCAGCTCACCTGCCGCCGCCGCCGCAGGCCTCGCCGCGCCGCCCAGGCCCGGCCGGAGAGGACGCCCCGAAGGCGCCGGCCAATCGGACGCCGCGCCCGCCCTGGGGGGCGGGAACCCCGCGTCTGTCCACCAATCCCTAACGGGCTCTCGGAGCGCCTTGGCCAATGACGAAGCGGCTCCCGGCCGCAGGCTGAGTGAGGCGCGGGGAGCGGGAGGAGCCCGGATGTCGTCACTGGGCGGGCCGCAAGCGGCGTGGGGGTAGCGGGGAGCTCAGGCCTGACAGAGGCGGGCACCCCGCGCCCCGGGCCTGAGCGAGGGGGACTCTGGAACTGAGCGAGGGAGACTCTGGAACTGAGCGAGGGGGGGACCCTGCGACCGGGGCATGAAGGAGGGGGACCCCGGACCTGAGCGAGGGGGACCCCGCGCCCCTGTCCTGAGGGAGGGGGACCCCGCGACCCGGGCATGAAGGAGGGGGACCCCCACCCCGGGGGTGACCAGGCCGCCTCTTCTGGCAGTGACCCCGCACCCCGGCCCTGCTTCCCCGCGGGTCCTCCGGAGCAGCTTTGCTCCCAGGAGCCCGGGCTGCCATCCGCACTGCACGGCCTTGTCCCGCACCCCATGGGGCCTCCGCTGCCATGGCACTGCCCCTCGGCCGAGCCCCTTTCTTATCTGCCCCTCACAAACGTCCCTCCTTTGCATTTTTACAAGTAGACCTTTCGCTTGTGAAAACCGGGATTGTACCTGTTGTCCATACAGGCCGAGCTGATTAGGGGTGCCCATGCCTGGCCTCCCTGTGGGCACTGCGAGGCCTCAGCCCAAGAGACTGCCCGGTGGCCCCTCTGCCCAGCGCCCTGACATGCCCCGCAAGTGTCAGAGGCCTTGGCTGCTGCACCCAGGCAGGCCCTGGGGGCATTAGGCGACAGGTGCGGGGTGCCCTCTGCCTTCATCCTCCCCGTGCCAAGGCAGCCAGGCGGTTGTAAACAAGGACTCCTGTGGGATTTAGGGCGTGGCTCTGCAGCTCCGTGCCATCTGGGGGAAGCTGTGAAGGCGAAGGCAGGGAAGGCAGGGCTGCTGAGGGCCCTGCTCCGGGTGGGAGGGCTGTGTCCCGCCCATCTGCCCAGCAGGGTGGGAGCCACAGGGCACCCAGCTCTGGCTCCAGGCCATCCCTGCGGCCTCTGTCTCCTTTGTAAATAGGACGCGTGAGGTGGCATTCCAGCACCCGCCACCCCTGCGGGTGATCTGTCTGCAGATCTCACCTTGACTGTCCCAGGCACCCTGGAGGCCCCACTGGACCTGGACATGTCCTGGGTTTTGTATGTTGTTTCCTTTTTTAAACTAATGATTACATGGTTGATCAGGGTGGGAAGGATGAAGGTTTAGGGAAAATTGGGTGAATTCATTGCTGTTTCTTGTTCCTGGGATAAGGAGAGAAACAAAGGGGGAGACCACTCACAACCTTCCACACGTCCCAGTACCCAGAGACGAGGAACTGCCACCTCACGTCAACCCAGAGGCCCCATGTGGGCATATTCCGAGGGTTCTGTCCAGGTGGTTTGGATAGTTCTGAAATGCCGATTCCTCCGATCCGAGAACGATGGCACCCTCCCAATACTCATTGCCTTCATTCACTGGAATTTGTTGCTGTCACCTATTGCAGTTTAACACACTTGCTGACTGATCACCTGGGCCCCCCCCCCCAAACCTCTTGGCTCTCGCCCTACATCCCCCTCCCGCCTGCTGCTGACCACCGAGCTGGGGACATGTGTCCCCACAACGACACTGCCACTCCTTCCTTCTTGGGAGCTCCACACCAGGCTGCCTGCGTTCCCCCACCCCGGCCCTGCCTCCCTGAAAGAGGGACTCGGAGACCACCGGCTCCCCTGTCCCCCTTGCCGGAGGCCACCTGCCTGCCAGCACGCCTGCCAGCAGAGCTGTGGCGCGTCCCTGGAAGCAGATCTGCAAATCCAGTCCATCCCGCCTGCAGCTGCCCTGACCCTGGCAGGAGCTGCCCTCCGTCTCATGTGAACCCTTGGCTTTCAGCCCTCTCAGCAGGTGCCTGGATGGTCAGACACAGCCGTCAGGACTCCTGGGGCACGTGGAGGAGCCCCATCACACCTCATTTATACGTTAGTAAAGCTTTACTTAACTAGTAAAAGATGTGTTTATGCATTTGAAAGACAGAATTACAGAGAGGGAGAAATAGAAAGATCTTCCATCTGCTGGTTCACTCCCTAAATGGCTACATTGGCTGGAGCTGAGCCGGTCCAAAGCCAGAAGCCAGGAGCTTCTTCCGGGCCTCCCGCATATGTGCAGGGGTCCAAGCATCTGAGCCATCCCCCACTGTCTTCCCTGGCACATGAGCAGGGAGCTGGATGGGAAGTGAAGCAGCCGGGATTGAACCAGCTAGTTCAGGTGGCAGCTAGTTGGCTGTGCCACGGCTCTGGGACCCTGGGCTTTATTTATGCACTTGAAAGAGTGATGTGAGGAGATACAGAAGACAGACCTTGTCCATCCTCTGGCTCACTCCCCAGATGGCCCCAACAACCGGGTCTGGGCCAGGCCACAGCCAGGAGCCAGCTAGGCTGCTTCTGCCGCCTTCATAGGCA